TGCAGGAGGGGGTTTGGGGTACTGGCTCTGGGATGGGGCTCAGGGCTGGTGTTGGGTTGCGGGAGTGGGTGAGGGGTGTAGGCTCCGGCCAGGTGGCACTTACCTTGGATGGCTCCTGGTTGGCGGGCACAGAGGGGCTAAGGTGGGCTCCCTGCCTGCCCTGGCCCCATGCCGATCCTGGAAGAGGCCAGCACGTCCCTGCAGCCCCTGGCAGGGAGGGGGACAAGGGGTTCCACGTGGTGCCCCTGCCTGCGGGCGCTGCCCCCGCAGCTCCCATTGGCTGCAGTTCCTGGCCAGTGGGAGCTGCAGAGTCAGCGGTTGGGGCAGGGGCAGTGCGCAGAGACCTTCTGGGGCCCCCCATAGGGGCTGCAGGGATGTGCTGGCCGCTTCCGGGAGCAGGCCAGGGAAAGCAGGGAGACCGCCTTAGTCCCACTGCACTGCCAGACTTTCAGCAGCCTAAAATCTACTGGTTTGGTTTCAGTAGCCTCCGGGAGATAGAGCCCGATTCCGGGAGACTCCCAGTGAAACCAGGAGGGTTGGCAACCCTGGTAGGGTGCTGCCACACCCCCTGGTTTGAAGTGGTTTCCGAAACTACTTCAAACCAGGGGAGTGTGGCAGCACCCCCGACTTCCAGCACCTGTGGGGGTGCTGTGCTTTTTGAGATGGTCCTGACCATTGGTAGGCCTTAAAGATCCATTGTGGGCGTTGACTCCACTGCTCTGGCCAAATCCTGACATGGCTGATTGCATTCAGTCTACATAAAATTTTCCCTGCACACAGTTCTTCCTTTTTTGTCCTAAACTATTGTGTTGCCATGTACCAAGTGGCTAAATTGGAGAGTGCACTGATCCTTGTTGTATCCCTTAGCTACATCACTGGCGTGCTCGTATGCTTCCATGCTTTGCCCTCCTTTAATGAAAGTTCCAAAAAGTGTGAGGAATTATTATATGCATCCGATGAAGTGAGCTATAGCTCATGAAAGCTTATGCTCAAATAAATTGGTTAGTCTCTAAGGTGCCACAAGTCCTCCTTTTCTTTTTGCGAATACAGACTAACACGGCTGCTACTCTAAAACCAGGAATTATAATTCTCTTTTTTTTTTTTTTTTTTTTTTTTGCAAGTTTTGCAAGAAATTTTGCAAGAAATTTAGTAACATTCTTACAGCCCCACTTCCTGGAGTCAAGGGATTATGTGAAAATCCTTGCTTTCAAATTTTTTTTTTAAAGTACATTTCTATCCCTTGTGCTTGCAGAGAAAAGCTTGAGAATGTGACCCGAGTATCCTCTAGATGCTCAGGACGTGTCTGCACTACAGCAGCTCGGCTGTGTAGCTGTAGCGCCATACTCTAGATGCTTCCTACACAATGGAAAGGGTTTTTCCACCGTTGTAGTTAATCACCTCTCCAAATGGCAGTAGCTAGGTTGGCAGAAGAATTCTCTCACTGACTGAGCCATGTCTACACTGGGGGTTAGGTCAGCTTAACTAGCATGCAGGGATGTGAATGTTTCACACCCCTGAGTGATGTAGCTGGGTAAGGCTAAATTTTAATATATCAGGCTTTAGAAACCAGAAGGCAAAGAAGAAGAACCTAGAGTGAATTATTTTTTAACGCCATGATTTTCTGAAAACTTGGGCTTGGCAATACTGTTGTTGACCAACTAAAAGCTCCATTCATTTCCATAGCATAATTGTAAGCAGTTTGGAAAAGTGTTTCCCATTTTTTTAGCTCTCCATTTTATTTATATAATTTTTTTTCTTAAAGCAAAAGATTTATCCTGCATTAGGGGCCTGAAGAGGGGTGTCATAAGAGCCACAATGTTAACTCTATGCCACCAAGCAGTTACTTAGGATACCAGATCCACTCACTATACAGTTGTGTTGTGTTACTAGAATGCTACAAAGCATGCAGTGTAAGTTTCAAGATCTGACCCTATACATTTAACCTTGTGCTCTACTTACAAACTAGTACATCAACCCTGGGTGCCAAATCTGGACCACCAGATGCTTTTGAATGGACCAGGAAATTTTTTATTTACTTATTACTATCATTTATTATTATTATTTTTATATTATTTTCTTTGGAATCTGGAGTTTGTTCACCAAGACATTTGGATCTTGACAAAAAATAGTTGATTACCCCATAGTGCATCCTACCATGGGACTTGGATCCCAGTTTTGTTTAATCTACATACATTATCTATCATTTTGATGATCTGAGGACAGAATTTATTACGGTTTATGAATTTACCAGCAGCCTCTGATACCACTGCTTTGGTGTTACTCTGCTGCTCTCCAATTTTTTAGGCTTCTTTGCCCTGTTTTATTTCTTTCCATTAAAAGTGACACAATAGGCAGGTGACTGATTTACTTCATCTCCATCATTGGAATATTGTTTTCACTTATTTTTCCCTTTATTCTATATGAGCTTTCTTTTTAATTCTTGCCCATGTATGTAATTTCATGTTTTCTCTGTACATTCTTCTGTTCACAGGAACGTGAACTTAAAGCTGCAGCAGACAGTGTCTTATCTGAAGTAAGGAAAAAACAGGCAGACACAAAGAGAATGGTGGACATCCTGCGTGCTTTAGAAAAGCTTCGAAAACTGAGAAAAGAGGCAGCAGGGAGAAAAGGTAAATTATTGGCACTTTGTGATCTATGCGGAAATACAAGAAATAAAATATTTTTAGACAAATATTATGTATGGATTCAAATATAGCTAGCAAATGTCTTAATTTTGCAAAACTCCATAATATTGAGAATTTTCCATTCTTGCATTAGGTAGTTCCTTTCTTCATGATTACCCCTATTTCATTGTTATGGATTAAAGGCTTACGCAACATGAGTAAGGCTGGCAAAAGCTTGCCCTGTGTAATTATCTGTGTAATACAAACTCTCTACTAAAAATGGGATATGATAATGGTGCCTTCCAAGCTCTAAAACTTCTGTTAAGTTTATGGAGACTTCAAATAGCCTATAAGATGAATTGGTGCCCTCGCTTCGTAAATAAAGGGTATGTCTGCACTGCAATTAAAAACCCGCAGCTGGCGGGCTATGGGGTTGTTTAATTATGGTGTCCACGAGCTGGGACTGTTCCACCTCCCATGATCCTAGGACCTAGGCTCCAGCCCAAGCCCCACAAGCCTGAGTCAGGTGACATGGGCCTGCCGTGGGTTTTTAATTGCAGCATAGACAATACCCAGGTGGTCACTTGGGGGTTTTATTTGCAGAGGTCCCCATAAGGCAACTTTATGCTTAACTTTACTGCTGTGAGTAGTCCCATGGATTTTAATTGAAATCACAGATCAGTGGGACTTCTCATTCTAGTAAAGCTAAGCATGTGCGTGAGTGTTTGTAGGATCAGGGCCTTGGGTCGCAAGGTATTTTTTTTGGTTTTGGGTCTTTTTCTTTCCTCTTTACTGTTTGGGTAAAACTGTTCTGCTCTCAGGATATTTCAGCAGAATAGATATTTCTAAGAACAATAAGCTCTTGGAGACCTGATTCAGCAAATCCCAGGATCAGGCCTTTAGTGGGTTTTCCGAAGGTATTTTGATAAGGACTTCTCCAGTAGCACCAGTGTCTTTTTACTTGCTCCTGACTCTGCCAAATTAGTAACTTCAATAGGTTTCCTGCATTTATTCCAAATGCTTTATTTAACAGGTTCAGTTGGTGAGACTTTCTTAATGACTTGCTAATACAGTAAAAGCTGTGTTATCTGGCACTTTACCAATCGGAAAGCTCTATAAATCGGCATTTCAGGAGGGAGTGCGGGGCGTGGGCTCTGGGAGGGAGTTTGGGTGCAGGAGGAAGCTCAGGGCAGGGGGCTGGGGCGCAGGAGGAGTTTTGGGCTGCTGGATCCAGGAGGCACTTACCTCAGGCGGCTCCCCACAAGTAGCGACATGTCCCTGCTGCTCCTAGGCGGAGGCATGGCCACTTCCAGCCAGGCGGTGCTGCAGGCTGCCTCCGCCCGCAGGTCGTGCCGCGAGCACTGGCTCCGCGGCTCTCATTGGCTGGTGACCACAGCCAATGGGAGCTGCAGGGGTGGTGCCTGCGGGCGGAGGCAACGCGGAGAGCTGCGTGGCTGCGCCTCCACCAAGGAGCATTGACCGTAGCCAGTGGTGTCTGCGGGGGTGGTGTCTGCGGGCAGAGGCAGCGCACAGAGCTGCCTGGCCAGGAGTGGCCACACCTCCGCCTAGGAGCAGCAGGGACACGTCGCCACTTGCGGGGAGCCGCAAGGACCCGGCACCTCGACACCCGTCCCGCAACCCGAGCCCCCTCCCGCACCAAAACTCACTCCCTCTTAGTTAACCAGAATTTTTGACTTACCAGCACCTCCCATTCTCCCAATGTGCCAGATGATAAAACTTTTACAGTAATAATAATAATAATGAATAATTACTTTATATTAGGTGGTATTATTAACAATCGTAAGTTATATTTATTTAAGCAGTATGTGCTGAGTGTACCCAATAACCAGACTATCGGCACCATTTTGTACATAAATAATAAACGTCATGAATAAAGTACCTGGCTAGTGAGGATTCGGAAGATACTGCTTGAGCAGTTACCTTAAATTCCATTCTTATAGGATAGTATCTCTGAAAGATTGTTGTGTGTAACTGTAGTATTCTGCATGATATACATTTCTTTCCAAACTCCTTCTTGACCCACGTCATTTTATTGGAGGATAGTCATGAGGAAAATGGGTGACCAGATATAAGTTAATTGGAGATTCTGCAAACTCCACTCTCAGTATGAAACTGAAATTAGTACCATTTCTGTGATTGAAAATTATAACTTAATTCACTGTCTGTATAGGTGTCTGTCCTCCACCCTCAGCAGATGAAGACTTTGAACATCACATACAGAAGCTGAGGACACTGATCAGAAAACGCTCTGAACTGTATGAAGCTGAGGAGAGAGCATTAAGAGTTATGTTAGAAGGAGAACAGGAAGAAGAGAGGAAAAGAGAAATGGAAAAGAAACAGAAGAAAGAAAGGGAAAAGCTTCTACAGCAAAAACGTGACATTGATTCCAAGTTATTTGGGGATCCAGGTACATTTCTGCATATTTTAGTTCAGTATTGGGGAGGTTTTTTTCAAAACAAGTCAGATTAAAATGCAAACACAACTTTGCGTGGAAAAGCTGCCATGTGCTGAAATTACTATGAAGAGCAGGAGACAAGATACACAAGTTCATTCATGCCCTTTCATTATCATGTTCATAGAATTGGAAAATTACTTTATGTAGGAGGAGTATAGTCACAGTATCACAAACTATGATTTCACCAAACCTTACAAGCCAAGCAGGATTAGTCTGAATTTGGTATTTAAAGACGTCCCACAACATGTTGATACGTTAGTATTGGTGATTCAGCAGGTGTCATTACTCCTTTTAGTACAGCCCCAATACCAGTGTGTTCCCAGGGAGGGAGGTTGCTACTGGAAGAATTATCTTTTGTAAGAGTGGAGAAAGTCCTAACCACTTGTAGGCATCAGAAATCCCATAATACTTTTTGTAACAAGAATATATTAATTAGCAAATAACTTTAAACAGTAATCACGGAGTGACAAGTGTGATATGGCACCTTTAAGGATCCTAACACTTTTTAATATTGAAGGTCATATCTTGTTGAACAGTTTTCTTATGTATGTGTTTTAACAGATGAGTTTCCTCTTAATCATCTACTGCAACCCTTTAGACAATATTATTTACAAGCTGAGCATTCTGTACCAGCCCTTATCCAGATAAGGTAAGAGCAAACATCTTTAGTTTATTAGTGGTAATGAGGTGGTAGTCTGTCATGTAGAGATTTGTGAAGATAAAATTACATCGTCTGTTGTTTCATTGCCCACCAGAGTATAAAGTTTATACCATGAATTCTCATCAGATGACTTTGATTATAAAATTGGCAGCTGTTTGCCTAACTCCGTTTTCAGCTAACATAAATGTATTCCCACCCAAAAAACTTCATTAACATAGTTATAATTGCTGAAATATATTTCCTCACAACACCCTGAACATTAAAAAGCAAACAAATAATAAATTAAGGCAACTTTCACACCCAATATTAATTTCAAAGCACTAGCTCACTACAATCATAATATATAATCACACCAACGCATTTGTGGTTGCTAAAAACCTCGTTTTCAAGTCAACAATATTACTGCCCTCTGCACACAAAAAAACCTTGTGAATCTTCCTGGAACACTTGACCTGCTTTTACATGGGAGCATGCTTACCTTCTCATAGGAAGTTTAAAATTAAGTTTTACAAACTTTACATTTTATAAAGTGCATAGACTTGCAATATCCAAGCTGCCATAAAACCAGTCTGGAAATGAAGGGTCCGTGTCCTCCTCCTGATCCTAAACTACTGTATAACTGTGTATAATGGTGCAACCTATAAAATGAAGGCAGCATACTTACTAGGGTAAAGTAGGTGATTTAAAAAAAATATATATTGATGTCATTTAAATTTAATTCAGGAACATTATGCTTTTGACTCTTTAAATATGCTGTAGACTTCAGCATAAAGTGTAGTGAATCTCCATATATAATTGCTAGAAACTTGCATGCTCACTCATGCTCATTTCGTGTTGGTTTAAAAATGTATCTTCAAGTTTTTGCTCTGAAGATGTAATTCAGAAGTACATTTTATAATGTGTTTGTATATGAAACAGTATGAAAAAAGAACATGTATGTGAATGTATTTTATTAAGGTGTGTGAGATGGAACAGAACAAATGCCTATCTTAATCTTTTTTTCTATTAAAGGCATGAATGGGATCAGTATCTGGTACCAGCTGATCATCCTGAAGGAAGCTGCATCCCTCCAGGCTGGGTCCTTCCAAGTCTCCCTACCAGTGACACCTGGGCCACTGCTGTTAGATAATTTTATAAGAAGTCAGTCTGAAGTGGTAGGAATTTCACATATAGGTAGGTAGGTCCCAAGTTTTCCTTGAAATCTACACCACCACTTCATTTTTTTAATTGTAAAGCATGTGGCAAGATACTGGAGTTGGAATTTCCTGAAGAAAAACGATAAGGGAAAAATGTTTTCCACCTCCTGGATTAACAGATAAATATCCAAGTGTAAAAGATAGTATAAGCCATGTTTGTTGTTAATGTTGTGGTGCTATAGAATTACAGTTCTGTTATGGGCCTTTATTTAACTAGCCTTTGGATTTGAGTGAGTTTGTTTACAATTTGAGGGCATTGTAAGTGGGCTGATACTTTTGCAGAGCATGTGTGTGCAATCAAAATGCTCACGTTGGACATCAGATTTAGCTGTTTCCCTAGCATGTAAGCTTTCAGTTCAGCAGTCATCTCTTCTCTCTGAACTCTTCTGGTTGTAGAGATAGTGAATGACTATCGCCAAAAGAGGTGAATTTCCATAGAAAACTAGTGTTGAAACAAATTTCTATTCCAAAAGTAGTATCAAAGTCAGTGAACGCTCTCGATCTAAGGTTTGACCCTGAAGTTCCAGATCTCTTTTTAAAACAAAAAACAAACAAATAGTCAACACCACATAATTATAGAAGTGTAGACATTTCTAAGAGTCACTGTGGTCAACCTGAGTTCTAGTCTTCACTCTGCCACTGGCTTGCTTTGTGGCCTTTGGCAGTCAATAAGCTCTTTTTGTCTATTTAAGCAAACTGCAAAATTATGAATAATTTCCTACCTCACAAGGATTAATGTTGTATAGTGAGTTTAAAATGCTAAGTATTACTTGTATTGATATGCCGTTTAGCCATTATACATCAAACCTAGCTCACAAATTTAAGATTATTTTCCCAAATAAAAAGTGTGAGCTCCACAGATGGCCTCTTTCTTTCAGGCAGGTTAGTAGCCAGCTTTTGGGCATTATACATGCAGTAATAATGCATGCAGCTTTAAAAATCTAGCTCTTTGATTGTCTCCTGTTCAAAATCAGTTATTTTTGCTTAATGAAGGGCTTAAAGTCTTGTTTTCAGGTTTTTTATAAGAAATGAAAAGGTTTTTCCCCCTCTGGATAGTCATGTGTTGCACTGTGTCCAAGAGATGCTTTGCTTATAAAACCTGAAATTTTGTATGTGCTCAATCTCCTATAGACTAGACACTCGAGCCTAATATTCATGTGATACCTGTTCCATTGACATTGTATTTGGGTATGGTGCTAATAGAAGTATCTTGACAATCCATAATTGTACCATCATGCTCAAAAAGGTAGACTAGCCATGTGACTGTATATAGCTTGATAAATAAGCCTACTAGAAAAAAAATGTAATAAAAGCTGAAGTCTAATTTATTGTAATTGTTCTTGCTAGTTACTTGCTTTCTTTGTAAGTAGATACTATTTGTAAAATATAATTTGATCAAAAATACAACTCTCATTTTGTAAGTGCATTTTATACTTTAAATAAATAAAAAATAATGGAAACTGTCATAAATACCTGTTCTCTGAGGGGGAAATTTTCCATGGACCAGAGGACCAGCACAAGCCTTTGCATCACTTAATCTCCATAGTATGGGGAGGGCTGCTGGCAGAGTAGCCATACAGGCAAACATCCACAGCTCTTTTCCCTAAGCACTACAGAAGGTTCTGTTTTGCAGCTGTTTTGTGTACAGGCCAATATATAGGACAGTGATGGGGGCATGGAATGGGATCCGTGTTTATGCAGGTTCTAGTTCTACCTACGAGATCTATGCAAGTGATTCGGAGTTGCAGTTGCTATTCCAGCCCATAGGCTTCAACCCTGTATCTTGGCCCCAACGCGAGGGAGTGGATTTAATCTTTCCAACTCACTTACATCAACTGTATAGAAAGTATCTACTCAGACTCCATGTGATGAAATTCATTTCACCCTAAAACTGCATCAGGAAATCAGCATATGGTTGACTAAAATATAGTGGCATATTCAACATCATTTATGTTGTGGCTTTACAAGTAAATGTAAATGTTCATAATTTTTAACTGAAACTTGTGCCCAGAGTTGAGATCTGTCAGTATGGGCACACTGAGAATTACTTACTTGAAAGGGTTAAAATGAGAGTGTGACTCTTTTTTGCCAGAGAGAATGCAGCAATTGTTGCTTCCATGTGTATTACCTTAAACACCATATGATGATCTATATCATAAAGTAATTAAAGGGAATGCCAGGGTTTCTGGTTTACAAAAGGGGGGAAAAATTTGCTCTTTATAGCTTCCTGTTACACAGGAAATCTTTACCCTAGAATTTTATTTGCTCTAAAACAGTGGTTCTCAAACTTTTTTTTTTTTGCGGACCACTTGAAAATTGCTGAGGGTCTTGGCGGACCACTTAATGATCTTTCCAAATGTTTGTACCATTAGGTAACTATTGTAAAGCACTTTGGATAAAAGCACTATATTAAAAAAAAAATCTAATTTTTTTTTTTGTTCTACAAATAAAAGCACACAACTCATAGTCTTACCTTTCTAATGCAATGGATGTGCCCTCTCTTCCCCACCGCAGCAGCCCCTGAGCTAGGGCTGGGAAGGAGGGGGGATCTCTCCCCCGCTACAGAGCTGAGGCTGGGAAGGAGGGCCATCTCTCCCTGGCAGCCACAGCTCTGGAGCTGGGAAAGTCACCTCTTTCTCTGGCCACCGCAGCCCTGCACATCTCAAATTCCCCCCACCCCCTCTTCTAACTCCACTGCTCCCTCACACCTACCCTCTGTTCCCCCCTGTTCCTCCCAAGGCCACCCCCTCACCTTACATGTGTGTCTTCTCCAGGGTCCATGCACCTAATTAGCGGAGCCACGCCTGCGCAGCTCCACTAATTAGGTGGGTGGCCCTTTGTTCTCTTGTGTGCAGCCATCCAGGCGTACACCTTAGAGGGAATTATCCGCGGACGACCTGAGTGGAGCTCACGGACCACAGTTTGAGAACCTCTGCTCTAAAACAAAACTTCAGTTCTATAAAAACAGTGGCAGCAGCACCCTCAAATTATAAAAGGTAATGAGTGACCAGAGGATGTTCAGCATAAGTGGTTAGGCTCCTTATTGTGTCAGAGGATATGGTGATGCAGGCTAACTGATTAGACAGCTATAATCTAAAATTGTAGAAACGTAACTCGGACACCTGACTTTGTGTGTGCAAGCATTTAAAGAATTGAGCAGTGGATAAACAGCTAGCGTATGTAAAACAGCGCAAGTTTCTCTACTTCATGGGAAAAGCTGCATGATTTCTTTTTAAGGTACGCATAACTTTATACTTCTATCTTGTTTATAAACATAAAATTTAAAATGCCAGTTGATATACTATAGAGCAAAATATACTCCAGTTATGTAGTTTTAATATAGTTCATATAGACGTCTGTTCCTTTTCCTTGTTAAAATATTTTGATTTTCAAATGAAGAACACATGTTTTGATGTTTGAGCTAACAACTGAAGAGGAACTCTTAAAATATTGTGCCACTTAGTAACTATTATATCCAAGTTTGTGGTTTGATTCTAAAAGAATGTCTTCAAATAAACACTCATCTGATGAAACCTATGAACTGAGCTGAGTCCAGAAAGGCATTTTCCTGCTACCTTGTAAGGTTTAGAAAAATACTGTGGCTCAAAAGAAGGTTGATCATAAATTTTCATGGCTCCTTTGGCTCCAATTCCATGTTTGGTCGCAATACAATTTCAATTTTGTATAGTTGTAAGACATTCTGTCCACTCCTGTACTAAGTGTCATCTTTTTTTAATTGACTTGATGTGTATTAATTAATCTGTCAACCTGGATCCTCTAGTGTGAAACTGACTAAGAGTGATGTGAAGATGTCACTGGATGAATGAGTTCAGAATCCTTGTTACAAGTGTGTTTTGGTATAAATTAGTATTTACTGGTAACTCTGCTTTTATTTTTTAGGCAGGCAGGCTTCCCTGTAATCTTAAAAGTGGAAGCCTCAGTTATATTTATTTTTTATAGTGTATCATAATGGTCCATTTGACATTATAATCTAAGCTATGAACCTCTGAAAATATTTGTAGTACTGACAGACCATTATCTAGTGTGTCTCTAGTAGTCACCACTTCTTAGGTCTGATGTACGCGCAGTTTTTGTACCAGTATAGTTATTTAATGGGGGGGGGGGGTAATCAAAATAGTGATACCAGTACAACTCCTGCTATGAATACAGTTCCACCAGTATATTTCATTCTCCTTGTATGGGAATGGCCATACTGGTATAAAGCACTTTTATATGAGTATGACTGTATGATACAAGGGGATTGTACTGCTTTAACTATAGTTAAAGTGGATTAACTTTTGTGTATAGACAAGCCCATGTTTTGGCAAATCCAGGATAGCAAATATTTCAGACAGATGTCCGAACACCAATTGTTATGTTCACAGTGCCTTTGGGGATTGCATTAACTCTCTTCATTTAATCCATAAAAATGACTTTTAAAAATCTTTTTTTAGGAAAAGGTAACAAAATGTCCTTTTTTCCCCATATACATACCTGACTGCCATTGACAATAATGGAAGTTGCACCTATTTTGAGAGAGAGACTCTGTTCATTATTTAACCCTACAGGAACATCCTTCTCTTCCTGCAGTATGCAATGTCTGCAAGATAATATTAACTACATAAGTGTGGACTCTTAAGTATATGTAGTCCTGGTAACTGAAAGAGCAATGTTTCACAATCATTTCTTTTCAGATACAGTTTGGCTCTGTTTTTCTGTGACACTTACGCAAGCTGTAGCTTATGCTGAACCTCTTTTAAGTATGGAGCAGATGGTCTATGCCTGTGTAGGATTCCAACTTGTTGCACGTGAAATGTATTAATGAAAATACACGTGCAGCATTGCAAAGCTGGTTACTGTCCATCTGGCTACAACTACAGCCCTGGATGCACATAATCCTTGTATTAACGATCCAAATAACAACCCTTCTGTAATGTTAATATAAACTGGGTATGTTAATTAGGTCAGTTGCACCTAGGAATTATGCATAGGAACATTGATATTTTAGTCTAGTAACAGCAGTATTTAAATTTGTTTCCTAATGAATGGAAGTCTGGCTGTGTGTTGATTAGGTGCCTCTTCTTTGTGAGATCCACATTGTTCATAGGTGCTGCTATGTCCTCTTTGTATAAATTCTGCTTCTTTTTTGATGTACTTATCCTTACTAATGAATAAACCCTCCCTCTTATTTGGAAAAATTATGGGCAGAACAGTTTTGTGAAAATTGACTTGATTCCAGCTACTTTTTATTTTTTCAGAAAGATTATAAGCAATCGCTGTGTAGGGATTTTTTTTGTAATAAGTACAGACTTTAGATTCCTAGTCTTGTTAGAAGTCTTGCTATCAAGACTTGCCAGTTAACGTTATGCAAAACGTTATCAGCCCATCATAGATAAGACATTAGGGAACTGGGATTCTTCATCTGCCTATGCAACAGAATCTTTATTTTTCACTTAACTGAGTCATTCATAGCCTAAATCTATTGGCACTATTGTAGGAATACTTTCCATGCCAGTAATCCCAGTTCACCAGATTCCGCCCTTCTCTCCCTGCCATTCCAACCCCAAAAAACCTTTACCACACTAAACATTATTTGATTTCTTTGTAAAGTTTATCTAGATAATATAATAGCAACATCCCTCTAACAAGAAGTGTGGTTGTTATCTCAGCCCTCACAATAGCAAGGTCTGGAAAACAATGTGGGCAAAACCTCCCAAATGAAGGGCTCCAAAAAATGACCGGTATGGCAGAGAGAGATTTTAAATCACGTAGAAATAAACTGTATGGGCTGACCCTCATTATTCTGCTTTTTTTAAATTTAAATAACTCATAGGAATAAATGTGAGTGTGCTACATTTGAGTCAGGGGCGGGCGTTTCTCCCCATGAGGCATAGCTGGAGAAAGGGATGCGTGTGCACCCAATAGTAATGTCAGCAATTCTCTCCTCTTTCCAGTAATCTCATCTGGATTTGTGTGCGTCAGTTAAGATGCCCCAGTGCCATCTCAGCAGTCACCTTCCACCTGCTCTTTAAACCCCTAGTGGGCCAACCATGTGCGGGGAAGCCCTTTGGATTGTGCTGCGGAGCTCTGACCTTGCTGCTGGGTCATGTCAACTGGGCTAGGAGGACATCTATTTGTGCTTCCACTCTACTGTTCCCTAGCCACTGGCTACCAGTCCATGGTTGAAACTGCCTACCCCTCCCCACAACCCAGGGTCATCCTTAAACTGCATAAAGGGTGGAGAGGCTGAGCAGTGGCTTCCTGAGATGCCATTTTAGCCTGCATCTCCAGAAGAACTGCCAGTTGGTTCCTTCCCTGTTCTCTGCTTTCTGGTTGGGAGAGGGAATGGAAGGAAGAATGGTGGGTGGGTGGATGGATGGATGACGTGAGGAGGTATGTGGCAGTTGAGAATAGGCTGGGAATAGTGAGGGGACGAAGAAAGAGAAGTGGATGGAGAGTATTGAAAATATATGGGGAATTAAGCTTGAACATAGTGGCGGATGGAAGTGGAGAATGAATGAGTCTTGATCATGCTGCAAGTGCAGCTGAAGTCTAGGTGACTTTTAGTGACTATATGCCACCTGTTCAAGTTATCATCACTTACCATAGGTATCAAAACAGAACACTTGATCAGTGGATAGAAGAGAGGACTGTTGGCTGTCAAAGATTTGGAAAGCCATTTAAACTAACAAACTGAAAGTTCACATATGCAAATGATCAAATGAGTTGCAGTTACAGGCTCTTCTCTGGAAAGAGGATAAAAGAATAATTGCATGCTGGTTCTTCATAAGAACTTCTTTTGAGGTTAGAAATATAGGGCCAAGAAGGTAGATCAGCTGGCTCCAGGCACGTTCTGAATGTGTATAGATGTGCACTGCGTTGGAACTTAGAAAGTCTGTTTAGCAGAATGCAAACTGGCAAATGGAAAAAAACCTGTCTCCTTTAGAGTAACAGCCGTGTTAGTCTGTATTCGCAAAAAGAAAAGGAGTACTTGTGGCACCTGGGGGGGAGAGAAAACCTTTTGTAGTGGTAAACACCCATTTTTTATGCTTTGTGTGTATAAAAAGATCTTTCCACAGTATGCATCCGATGAAGTGAGCTGTAGCTCACGAAAGCTTATGCTCCAAATAAATTGGTTAGTCTCTAAGGTGTCACAAGTACTCCTTTTCTTTTTGTCTCCTTTAATTATCCATGGCAAGAGCTTAGTTGTCCATTCCTCAGCGAGCATAAGGGGGGTGTGTGTGTGAGTGGACAGACCTGATTCCGCACAAGAACAGTATGTCACTAATGTAGAGTTGAGCACTGACCATATGTGGGTCATAGGTCAGGCATGTCCACATGTGCAGCAAAATTACAGGGCATAAGATCAACAGTCTGAGTTCTGTGAGTGAAGTGAAGAAACTGTGTTCACACGTTCATTCAATATGAATCACATTTGGGTTCTGCAACAGTTTCTATCATCCAAAACCTGAACCCTTGAGATTTGGCCCCTATTCTGTGTACATCGCAAATTCCTTCATCTAATAATAAAGTTTAGTCCTTTATGTAAATATTTCTAGTATCTGACACCAAATACAGTTCTTAAGATTTTCAGTGTTATTCATAGTGGACACTGCTCTTCTACTTTACCAGAATCGGCAGCATATAGTGCTTTTCACTTCTCTGTAAACTATGTTCAAAAGCTAAATTATTTTTATTCACAGTCATTAAAATATATCTACTTTGCCTCTCCTTTCATGTCTTTTTAAGGATGGGGCATGTGAAATGCTATTACCCTACTGTTTCACATTAAATTTACTGAGACTTCTTTTTATTCACTCATTTTCTGTTAGATTGCAAAATATCAAGAGAAAATATGAGCTGTCTGGATGACGTACCTTTTAAAATGCCCAAGAGCTTTGAAGATGACTCTGCGGAAGGCACCAACTTAATCAGTTTAGCCGACTTTGATATTCCTGACTGCACTGAGATCCTAATGTGCACACTGGTAGGTTAGTCTCTGTTCTTAGAGCCTTTGTTAATTTTGATCTCATATTAATATCCATGATATTAAGAGTAGCTTAGTATTTTTTTCCCACTGAAAAGGAAAAAAAATCCTTGAAATATTTCTTTCCTGGACTAAACAGACACCTGTTTTTGCAGTCTCATACAAGGCCAAAGATTGGTAGGGCAAAGCCCAGATCCTGCTTTGGCCTGTGCCCCAGGACCTGAAAGGGAATTTTGGCCAGCCAAAACTACCCACGCTGGCTAGGACATATGCTGCAGTGTGGTGCATTCTGACAGACTTAGACCCTGTTCACATTACAGTTGAACATTGCGTTTAAATGCACACATTGATTGCTAGAACAGTTTTGTCCGTCATAGGAAACTACTGTGGATTTTCCCCATTGGCTGGCTGTAGTACTTTTTTATCACTATCATTTTGGTGGTGGTTATTCCAGAACCCACTAGGGCAGATTTCCTAGGTTACAGTTGTTGCTAGCACAGTTTCAACCATAGGATGGACAGGGTTTTAATTGGGTTTTAATTGGAGTCCTCTTTGTAAAAAGAACTGCTTTGGTTTCAGAGGTGTTTCACAATTTCTCACCAATAGGCGGAGTCATTGCACTTTATTCTTGGCAAGCCTGCCTTATGTAGGACTCTTCGTAACAGAGATTGATGCTGTTTACTCTTGCCTGGAGGAGCTGCAAAGTTTTAAAAACCGCATCGCACTTCTTCACTAGTTCATTGTTGCTCAGCTCTGCTTTGCTCCCTATTTTAAATATCTCCAATATGCTAAGAATAGTTTTTTGAAGGAGATTGCTGCATCTGTGCCTTATGCACCATGTGTAAAACTGGTAATTGACGACTGAGGGGTGTGCAGTCTCCTGATTTTCACGTTTGTGTTTGCACAGGCATACCAGTTGCCTCCTTCTCTCGAATTCTGACCTTCATATTTTACTTTGGAAAAAAACAATATTATTCTTCACTTGAATTTGATAAAAGCTGCAAGATTGGATCTAAAAATCTTTCCTCAAAGTTTGGTGTGTTTTCGCTCTGGGGATTTGGTTCAGGTCCATCTCCAGTCGTAACTCTAGCAAGTACTGGGCCTAATTGTATGTAAGTGGTAATAACAGAACTTGTGGTCTGACTATGGGATATATTTGTCTGACAGCCCATGAGAGTTCTAGTCTGGCGAGCTCCAGGGCATGATATAAGATTTATTTGTTCAATCAGGTCTTTAGACTTACATCACAAATATATTTACATTTTAAAACAAAGTATATGAAAATAGTACCTCTTCTATTTCTATGCCAACACCCTCAGTCCACAGTTCTGTGTTTCCCCTTCCCCAGTACTGTAGGTGATAAATACTTAAAACAAAGCATAAGGTTTTGATTGTGAGCTCAACTCTGGAAGCTATTTGGTTTCTAAGCATTACTCAAAGATTAAAAAAAAAACCCGAAGTTCCAGTGTGAATTTATTTGAGTTGGATGTAATTATTTCTGAGAGGCGGATACAGGTCTATGTTCAGGATTACAGATACTGGGGCAGACTGTGGATATTGGCATAACTCCCTTGCCTGAGATGGAGCTCTGCTGATTTACACCAGCAGAGGATGTGGCCCATTGTGTCCAGTCCTGCACCCCTTAATCTTGCAATTAGTTCTATTCTAAGCATTACTCAGGTGAGTAAGAGTGAAGGTTTGAACCCATAAAAGTCTTTTAACTGACATCACATCAGGTTATTTTTTTTAAATACTGAATTATTCTGCTTACTGCTATTTTACAGCATGATTTCTCATTAGAAAGAAAGGTGCTTTACTGGATTGAGGCTGCTTCTGGGCAAGAAACTCCTTGGTATGGAGTTACTACTGATGCTGTGCCAACAGCTCCACCTTGCTGGCTGCTTTTGGTTGATCCTAAAGAAAACTATGTCATCAATACACAGAACGAGGAGAGAGCTGATGGGAAAGCAAAGGATGGTGTGACACACACAACCTCTGTTCGGAGATGTGTAAGCCTAAGTGCTGCTGATGTGAAATATGGCCCTTCCACAGCCAGAGGTGCACCATCTGAGACGGAAAGTGAGGACTGGTACTCTGAAGAGAATGAGTATTCTGAGGACGATGAGTATTCCTCAACTACTGGTGAAGAAAGCAACAAAGAAGAAGAAAACATTTTGGATAACAAATTTGTTGAAAGCGCCATGCCTCAGCATTCCAGAGTTCACCAATTTAGACCAAGGACTTCTCCGGTATTGTTAGATCCACCTTCTGAAAACTGCTGCCATGAGCCAGTTACCGCAAATCTGATCAAGCAGAGAAGATCCATGATTTTATTTAATAATATGAAGAATGAGTTGGAAGAAGCCAAAAAGAAGTTAGCTGCTTTAGTGCATCCTTTAAATAGAGCATCTGTTGAAAGGAAACTGGCTCCAAGACCGGTTTCTCTCTACCAGCGCTCTCGAAGTAGCAGAAATCTTAGATACGGACCTGCCTCGGATGTATCCTTGATGGGAACTTTAACCCCAACACCTCCACCTACCCCTTGCTGTAGTCCCAGGACAGCTTCTGCTGCTAGATCAATACCTCCAATAAGAAACCATAAACCCACAGTTGCGGTAAGATATGGCTTTTTGATACCGTGTACCTTTGTCAGTGCTACCGATAGTAGTCACACAGCCCCATGTAAAGTGGTGTGAGAGAGAAAGAAGACAATGCAAGCTATATAGCAGTATTTCCCAAACTTAGGAGCTGAGGAAATCATAAGCATTTGGCCTTCGTTATATGTTGAGGCTGAAAACACTGAAAAAATTAATTGAGGAAAGTTGAGTAGTGGTTGGGGGACAGGCTTTCACCAGAGCTGGTCTAAACTTTTTGCTGAAAATTTTTTTCAATGAAAAAAATGCCTTTTGGGTGACATTTTTGTGAGACGGTTTCCATTTTCATCAAAGAACTACAACCATTTTGATTATTGCCAACTGGCAATGAAAAAACAGTTTTCAACAACGGAAATTTTTTTTGGTTTTCAATGAAAACCTGAAACTGTAAACAATTTTTGTTTCTTTGACATTTTTGGCAGGAAATAAAATACATTTCGCAACCATCTCTTGTTGTATCCCACACACAGCTGCCGCCTCAGTTCGCTCTTTTGGCAGTTTCAGAAGGGATGCCATGGATTGAATGAACATGAAGACTAAACTACTTTCTCACCCCTAAGGTGCAGCTCAGGGTGGAAGTACTACACTATAACTGGTTTCAGAGGAACAGCCGTGTTAGTCTGTATTCGCAAAAAGAAAAGGAGTACTTGTGGCACCTTAGAGACTAACCAATTTATTTGAGCATGAGCTTTCGTGAGCCACAGCTCACTTCATCAGATCATTACACTATAACTGTCTCTTTTGTCCCTGTTTCGTTGGTAGAAAGACCTCAGCTTTCACTGCTGCCAATTCTGGCACCTCTTACTTGCACAAAATTCACTTTTAAAAAGTCTAAACAGGAAAGAAATAATTATGAACTAGTTCCATAGTTACATTATAATGTCTGATCATGTCAGCATTAGAGTAAGTACCACAAAATGACAGAATGAATGTTGCAGTTTCTGTCATCTTAAATTTTCAAATTCTATCATAACTACTTGAGAGATGTCAGACTTTTGTTACTTAAAAGCCACAGGTACAGTGACCAAATAAATGAAAGGCAACCTCAAGTTATATTTACTTGCATGAGATTTAGAGAGAGTAATTATGGGGTGGTTATATGCCTATGCGTACTCTTGTAAACTAAACCATTGTTAAATTTAATTACTTATCCATCATCCCAATCTATTCAGCTATCATACATCATACTGTATTCCGTAAGCCCCTAAACGGGGTGAGCACTTCTCAGCATGAGACATTTTCTAGGATCTCAGATGGCTTTGTCTTTCTCTCTTGCTTATGGTTTTATATCTTTATACACACAACACACTCTTAAATAGGAGATCAAGTGTTTAGACGGTCACTTTTTTTAAGTCTTCGCCACCTGACTATCATCTCATTGATATTATAATAATTTCCTGCTTGGCCAACCAACGACAAGTAAAGAGCTTATTGGAGTTAGGAACAGGATTCCCTGAGAATTAGAAGCTGGATGTGATCAGTTTACCATATCAGCATCCTTTGATCTGTATTTGAATCCATGCCTAGACTTAATTAAGTCTAGTCTCATTTGAAGGGAGAGCCTGTGGACAAATTGTTGTAGCTGTCCCCACGTAATAACTAGATTGGGTTCTTTTGTTTGTTTTTATTTTTAGAGTGCACAGCTTAAAGTTTTCCCAAATTTCCAGTGTGCAGACATTGTCATCTCGGTCTGTTCAGAGTTTCCCTGGAAACATAAATTTTGATCTCAGTAAGGTCATTTGAAGTTAACTTTAGAATATGTTTGAACAGGATATATAACACACAAATTCACATGCATGATAGCTAACCTGAACTGTAATCATTTATTTATACGCTCTCATACAGAACCAGAAGGGAATTGTTCCATTTATTGGAATTTTCCTCTGGTTGCCCTGTCTAATGAAATTATGTTAAATGACAAATGCCAAAATGATGCTTTTGAACCTCCACAATTACCTTGTTGTTCTAGAAGAGGAGAAAAAGTATTCTTTTAATAGTTCCACATAGTACTAAATGCTAGTATCTTGTAAATGAATGTGTTTTAATTAGCGAACATAAAGTATTGTGTTTATTTTTCAGTCCCTCAGCCCCTATTCCTGTCTTCCACCCCCTTCTGGGGCTCTGCGACATCCAAGTTCCCACAGAACTCATCCAGATTCAACAGCTGACCTCCTCTCGGCATTAAGCCAAGAGGAACGTGACCTTATTGAGCCAGTTATAGCCTTGGGTTATCCGATACGCAGAGCAATCCTCGCCCTTCAGAAGACTGGAAGACAAAGTTTAGGTCAGGTTAGTGGAGCCAGTATTGCTTTACTTAAATGGTATGGAAAATACTTGATAAAGAACAATCATGTAAGAAGCTTCTTAGTGCAATATCATCTGGTAACTAGCCAAGTCTTAAAAGAGACGCCCAGTTCTGCTTTTGGGAAACTGTAGTAGTTTATCATACGTCCTAATAAGAACTGAAGTAATTCAGGATTTTTGCCTTAGATCTTCAGTTTTTAAGTAATAAAATTGGCTTGCATTATGTTCAGCCACATTCCCATAGGTAATACTAGTTGCTGTTTTACTATTTTATAGTGTTCTATTTATTATATAGAACCAAAAACCTACATCGGTGACCTAAAGCACAGTGTTATTTTGAAGTGAAGATCTCTTGTGTTCATGGTATGGAAACATTTTTGCTAACAGATTTTTTTTTCTCAGTCATTGGATCAATATGATTTATCGCCGTGGCTCATCTAGTCAGAACTGGAGTGTGTAATTCCCACTAAGATTTCTTGCTTTTTCACCAGAATTAAAGAATTTGTTTCAGAATGGTGATTAGTCACTGGATACGTACAAATAATGCCTTGGCATTATACTGGGTCATGAAATATTCTAATTTGTCACCAATGCATACATATCACTTATAGTTATCTTACTGGATGCCTCTCTGCACTAACTAATATCTGAGCACATGCCAATCTTTAATGTATTTATCCTCACAACCCTATGAGGCGGGAAAGTACTGTTATCCCATTTTACAGATGGGGATCTGAGGCCTAGAGAGTGACTTGCCGAACGTCACACAGGAATTTTGTGGCAGAGCAGGGAATTGGAACTAGGTCTCCCAAGTGACCGGCTAGCACTCTATCCACTAGATCATCCTTCCCAGACCAATTCTGCTGTTTAATGCAAATATTTCTGTAATCCAAATTGGTGAATGTTATTTATTCTACTCACAAAGACTTAAAACAAGCCACATACAGAGAAGTGGGCAAAGTGCAGCCTACATGCCCTATGGAGTTAATGGAGTCATGCAGTGTGCTCCTGACCATGGGTGCCGCCATCATCTTTAATATGGAGGGTACAGCCCACAGAGGCTATACATCCCAGCAGGCAGTGCTTCATATTACAGATGAGGTTGGCTGCAATCTGCTCCATTTTATGCAAATTGTCTGCGGCACTCAGGTTCTCACAAAGTTACCAGTGCAGCCCTTAGCTAAATATGTGGTTGTATCCTTCTGCTCCCTATACTGGTCTCTCTCTTTCACCAGCATGATTTCCTCTCTCCCCTCTGGTTGTGTAGGGGCACAGCCCAGATGAAATATAATGGTTAGCTATGAAGACTTCCAGGCTCAAATTACCGGTGTAAGTCTGACCAAATTAGGCTAAAGACCTTGCTGGAAAAATTTTTCCACCAAAAATTAAAAAGAAAAGAAAAATGAAGACTATTCATTGCTCCTTAGTGTCATGTTGGGCTGCAGTATGGTGCTGACAACTACAGGCAGGGTGATTGACAGTAACATCATATGGTAGCCAAAAATCACTGCATTCTTTATGGTGTTGAGTAAATCTGCCAGAAACTACCCTGATTCCCAAAGCAAGATTTTTCAAGCTTTAGCCTTAAAGAGGCAACATTCACCCCAATTTTGACAAAAGAACATGGTTAAAAGGCTCATACAGGGATAGGGATTGCTATAATGAGTCAGTGGGCCATATAATCCAGTATCCTATCTCCACCAGTACCACATGGTTCTGAGGGATATGGAAGAATTCCAAAGTGGATGGACAATTGTGGAATAACCTGCCCACAATGGAAGTCTCTTCCTAACCCCTATCAGTTAGTGGGTGGCTTATGGCTGACAGAAGTAACAGTTCTTCAAAACTTTTTGATAGTCCTTGTTCATTCCCTTTGGGGCACCTGGCATTGGCCACTGTTGGATACTGGGCTAGATGGACCTTTGGTCTGACCCAGTATGGCTGCTGTTATGTTTTTTGTTTCTAATGTAACTGATCTCATTATCTGCCTAAATGCCCATTTTAAAAAAAACTTCTTCTAACTCTTGGCCTCAATTATACTATTTTGTTGTAGTAGAGAGTTCCGCAGGCTGATTATGCATTGTGTAAAAAAGTTCTGTCAGTTTTAAATTTGCTGTCATTCCGCTTATTTGACTGTCTTATTGTTCTGGTGACACAGAATACTTTAGGGATGTTTTTAACAGTGAATTTCCCCACCCTTGGTCCAGAGCTTGCTCCCAGGGAAGAATAATGGTTTTCCCCCATCCTTCATTTTGAAGCCATCACTTTTCTCCATTTTGGTTCGACCTATTCTTGCAGTCAATGCCATTCCTGTGCTTCATCTCTGGCTGTGATGCTGGAACTTACAGGCTGCTCTCTGATTTGGCTGGCAAGACACTTAAAACCAGTGTACAGTGCATCCTGTTTTAAGCAGCCGCCTGTGGAACCATCAGAAATTGGTGGCCTAGGAGAGAAAGGCCTTTTTTGTGAAGGTCAAACAAACTTGTAATGGAAATCTTGAGAATACATTCAAGTGAATGTGTAAGCTATGGGCTTGTTAACTTGTTTGAGTCATTGCATTGCTTTTCTCTGATATGAAAAAACAAATATTGTTCTGCATAGCATGACAGGTAACATAATGAAGGGGGGGCAGGGGGACAGATGAATTACCAAGCTACAAGTGTACTGAAGAACTTCAAAATTGGTTTGTACCTTAGTATGTTCCATAGATTATAATGCCAGAATAAAAACTCTGTTGAGAAGTTTTCTTTGATATAAGACGCTCGCACTGAGGCTACCTGGTGTTTATAACCATCCTCAACCTTATTATAAGACACAGGAAAAAACCCAGAGAGAACAGCTTAGGATAGATGCAAGCATTAAAACTGTGTATGTGTTTAGTTTTAGTTTTGGAGAACATGCCTGTCTAATGTTTTGTGGGTGCATTAATATTCTTGAAAACCAAATGCAAAACTTGTTGTTCCTAAATACATTCCTCCAGGATAAGCTAGCTACATTCTTTCTCCACCTCCACAGGCAAAAGATTAGTCTATACTGTACCATGAAGGTTGATAGGTCACAATATTTAGAAACCTGTTTTTGTTTAGTCTTACTGATGTTTTTTTATAATGCTGAAATCATCCTGTTTTGCACAAGTTCCACACCGTGCTTACACAAAATGTCAGATTCTCTGAATTGTTTGCTTCTGCAGTGAACATTGTAAGCCAATGTCCCTGTTAATGGTCAAAGAAATATTGTCAACAGAACTGGCTTTTTAAGAAGGAAGGTCATGAGACAAATAAAAACAGCAAGTTATTCACGTAAATGGCAAGCAAATAGAGGCTGTAATATTTGATTTGATAATAGCAAGTGAATTTAGGTTGTTCTTGTTAATCCCCTCATTACCGCACTGCGGGAGAAATGAGTATTCGGCCAAATTTTTTTCTTAGCTTTAGAAAGCTTTTTTTTTTTTTTTTTGGACATTTAGCAAGTTTTATGATCTTTTAGTGAATCCTTCTACTGGCTTTGATGCTGTTAGTCTGGCGGAGGGCCACTTGTTTTCTTTTACTAGTAAAGACTTTGTAGATTATAAGTCAAATTCTCCTCTGGCATCAACAGACACAACTTCAAGTGAAGTCTATGGACTTGCACCCGCTTACATCAAGTGGTGAATTTGGCCCTGGCTATTTTTACCGTTGTATATTTCATTTATTGTTTGTCACATAAGTTTTTGGGCAGTGAATGGCTTATGTGGTATTTATAAGATACCACTGGGAATTGTGCTGTCAGCACTCCAAGAACAATGAGGAAAGCCAAAAATAACTGTTTGCTTTCAGTAATGACAGCTAACAGGCCTCCATTGGGTTGAGGGGCATATTCTGCTCAGAATTCTGGAGCAAGCCCTTAGAGGGTTGAAGTTTTGAACATCAGGAGTGACGCTGTGAGCATGGCAGGTTAGAATTCAGCACCACCTAGCTCTTTAATGGTACAGTCTTTAAAAAAACAAACTTTAAAATACTTTTTTCCCCCCACATCAAGTAGAGTTCAGATTTCTGGATTCCCCGGGGGAGGGGAAGTCTCTCCATTTGTTCATATTTCCCACACCCAGAGAATGGGAAGATCTTAGATGATTATCTTCTCCAGGGAAGTGATGAAAGTCCTGCTGCCTGAGTCACTGAAAACTCGTAGGAACAAAACATTAGGCAATGAACTGAATGGAACAAGTTTGTGTTGACTCTTTCCCATCTCTTTTTTTAAATTTGTGATCCTCCCTCTACTAACAACTGGTGCAAAAATACAGCTGACCTTAATGGAGACTGAAAGACAAAAGACCTAGTTTCCTGAAGTGTGGCTGTAATATACAGTTTTTGCCAGCTTGTGGGATAATGGTACAATGCGCAAATTACTTATATTCCATGCTTTTCTTGTTACAATCCTAGTCTATTCTCCAATCCCAAATTCAATCTGAACAGTCCAGCGTTAGCACCATTGGGCACCTAAGAATTTAGGCCTGATTAAGAAAAACATCCAATTTTACACTTTTTTTTTTTAAAAGTAAAGGGCCAAATCCTTAGTTGATATAAATCAGTGTAGCTTACTCAGGCTACCCTGATTTGCACCAGCTGAAGATCTGGCCCACCCTGAGGGAATGTGTGCATAAATAAGCCTCATACAACACCAGGGCTGAAATCCTGGCCCTACTGAAGTCAATGGCCAGAATTTTATGAAGCAGGGGACCCAGCCTCTCAACCAGGAAAGCTGCACTCGAGGCCTTTAGGGATTTTCCACCACGATGGAACAATTTGTTCCTTCCTGTACATCTGGCTCTGGGTAATAAGATCCTCATCCCCTCGAGGAGCTCTGGTGACACCTCAATCATAAGAACAACCTCCAAGACAGAGCCTCCATATTGCAGGGCTTTGGAGTGGTGGGCAGGCAGACTCCTTCAATCAAAGATTTCATATACAGGCAATAGATTTTGATTGCTGCTCACCCTCTCTCCCTGAGGTTATATTAACTCAGTTTCTTTGTTGTTGTCTCTCTGTTGTAGTTTCTCAGTTACCTTAGTGCCTGCGACAGGTTGCTGAAACAGGGCTATGAAGAGGGGCAGGTGGAAGAAGCCATGGAAATGTTCCAGTACTCGGAGAAGAAGGTTAGGTGCCTTCAGAGCAAAGAGTCATGTTGCTTAGGCCTTGTATTAGAGGTGGGACTGAATCAAACCCCCAGCACGACCTCCAGAACCCCTTTCCTTGTGGGCTACACCGAGCTGTTGAGGAATCCAGCTCTGCCTCACATAGGGAGTGCAGAGTATTTGTGAATGGCTCCATTACTGCCCCCGCCCCTTGCAGTGGAAACACTATGGTTCTATAGCCCCTGCACTGATGAATTCTATACTGCCTGGGCACCAGCCTCCCCTGTGGCCCATCTACCTACTAGTTCCACAATGAGTTGCCAAGGCCCCTATGCAGGCTCTCCACTCTGTGCCTTCCTTTCCCCAGACGGCCGAGCCATGGCACCGTGACTGTGTGTGAAGTCACTTTTGGCCAAGGGTGTTGGGAGGTGCCCCTAACAGTGTGAAAAGCTGGCACGGAAGAGGAGAAACACTACCTACCTTCGGGTCTGGACTGTCTGGCAGAACCCCGAATTTCACAACATGCAGGATTGTACCTTTCACTTCTGCTGATTTAGTTGCAGATGAGAGGCTGTGGAAAATACTGAGGCCAGTAAAGATCTGGTGCAAGAATGAAGGGTATGGGGCGGGGGGGGGAAATAAATACCAGCTTGTGCTTAGTATATTTTTCTGATTTGATGTATCTTTTTCATGTAATTATTTCCTAATATAGACTGAAATTCTATTTCGTTACTCGATAATAGTCATAATTTCCCCCCAAACTGGGAGTATTTCACCGTTCTGTTGGATAGGGGCCACTTTAGAACCAGACTGACCCCCTTTTGGAATTGGTGAAGTGAGTGACTGTTTTATCACAAACAGTATTGAAATAAAGAAACAATAGTTGTTACCTGCCGTTAAAAGCTAGCCTCTTTGTCAGTTCCATCCATGGCGTGTGTCCTGAAAAAGGACATTTTCTCTCTTTTAGAGAGATGGGACCAGATTTACCACTGGTGCCGGCAGGTGTCACTCCATTAAATCAGTGGACAGGTGTCCACTTTTATCTGTGGTGAATTTGGCCCAGGGTTTTCAAATTGTTCTGTTCCCAGTTCTGCATGGGCAGCCCCTGCAAGTATATGGAGCCTCATTGACTTCCCTGGGGCCCTGCCTAAGCACAGGAATTCACCTGTAAGGAGCAGCATTCAGAATCAGGGCTTTACCATCCACATTCTGTGCCATTGATTTCAACGTTGTTCTTTAAATGTAATTAATCCTGCTAGATCATACAGATCGATTGCATCCTTTCACATACTGCTGCTTCTGCTGAAACCTTACAATGAATTCTCCTTGAATCGATAATGATAAAATAACTTCCTTCTTGTTCCTTTTCCCCCCCCAGGCAGCTGAATTCCTGCATCTTTTAGTGCAATTTAAGGATATGGGTTTCCAGCAAGCTGAAATCAAAGAGGTTCTTCTGCTTTGTGAGAATCATAGAGATAAGGCACTAGAAGAGCTGATGACACGAACACAGGGATCAAATCTCTGGTAACAGTGACATCTTTTCATCTCTAGACTGACCACCACCATAGACCCATGTGTGTCAGTTTCATTCTAGATGCAGGCTGTTAATTTAGTGAAAGACATGACTATAGCCCCTCAGAAATAAGCCATTAAAGTTGCATCTCATTCTCGCCTCACTTTCTGTGAACATCTATTACAAGTGGCTTTGTCACTGTACCATAGCAGTGGCTTTATATCAGAAACTTTTCTCCGTACCCCCACTTTCCACATGCGCACCTTGACTATCTTATCTCACTGTTTTGGATAAAATGGAATTGGATCCAAGCCCCCATGTGGCTTAAATTCTGCAAAAACCGGGACATGGCTTACAAGGCTTTGCAAAACATGGCCTCCTCAGTACAATACCAGCAAATATAGCCAGATGTGAACTTTACACAACACAAGCCAACAGAAAAGGTTTCTGTTTGTTTTTTTTTTTATAAAAGCAGGACATTTCCCCAGAAAATTAGTTCCTGTTTTCTTGAGATGAGTCCTCCTGTCTGAAGTGTGTAACCAAATTCTAGATTTCAGCCTAATAACATTGGCTTCCAATTTAAAAGGTTAAAGGTAAAATGAATACAATATTTAACTGAGTGTAAGAGAAGAACAAAGGCTTCTGTTGTAATTTTGTTGATAACTAATATATCATGTTTATCGAGTAAGATGAAAAATGGCTTATGCAAGACGTATGCCCTGCATGAACAGGAATTTTCATGAAATTTGGAAGAGAACTGAAGGAAAGATTCTGCTCTGTGTCCAATTGAAGAAAGTGCGGAGAAGCAGCACAATTCCAGAAGGTGGGAAGTGGTGGCTCAAATAATCAAGTTTTGCACAGTCTTTGAGATCTGGAAAATTTGGATGTAGGCTTTTTTTCTGGTGTAACTGACATACAAAGAATGTAACTGATCCAAATCACCTTCTTGGATGTCTCTCTGCCCTTTGCAACATTACAGGGATAATGTTGTCACATAGATGAACTCAAGCATTTGATTTTCCTTTGAATTAGTCATAGATGTAATTGCTTGTGAGCAAGGGATATTTTCTTTTTTTTTCTTAAATATGTTTATTGTGTCTTTTCCTATGAAAATGCCAACTGGCACAACTTAGCAGGGACAGTCCTTAATTAGCTGCAGAATATTTACCGTTTTCCATTGTGTCCTTCCAAAAGCTTTCATAGTGCAATCTATTTCAGCTGAGTTAAACAATCTGTCCTTACATTTCTCCCCCATGTTCCCATTTATAGTTTTAAATATCGTTGTTTAGAAAATGCCCCTCTGTTACTGCTTGATATCCTACCACCCTCCTGAGGTGTCACAGCAGGGCTGGAACACCGGCTCTTGAAAGAGAGGGTGATCTCATGTTAAGGCCCTAGACCGGAACAAGGGGACCTGAGTTCAATTCCCAGCTCGGCTACAGGCTTCCTGTTGGACCTTGTACAATCTCTTAATTCCAATTATGAAATGGAGGTAAACTTTTCCCACTCTTTGTCTGTTTTAAATAGACTGTAGACTCTTTGCCCCAAAGACTCTCTCTTGTTATAGCATGCCATGGACCAGGTACACTTCTCAGGAAGTCTTGATTGTCTCGTCTATGCCTGCGTCACAGATCCTAATGAGTTCCCCTGCCTGGCCACATGCTAGGGTTGCTGTGAGGGGAATTTAAGCCTTTGTCCTCTGGCTCCCTGAGGTATTTCAAGCTTCTAGAGCCTGAACGGAGCTCATCCCCTGCCCCAATCTCAAGGTCCCTAGGCAAAATCTCTATGCACAGACCTTCTATCTGGCACCCTCTCCAAGGGTTGGAACCTGCTGACCATTCACCTAACCCCTCTGGGCACAGCACTGACCCTCCAGATTTCCTGGTACTTAAACACATGCCTCATCATGCATCCGATGGAGTGAGCTGTAGCTCACGGAAGCTTATGCTCAAATAAATTTGTTAGTCTCTAAGGTGCCACAAGTCCTCCTTTTCTTTTTGCCTCTCCCAAAGTCCCCCCAAAAGGTGCAAAGCTTCTAGGTTACAGGTTAATTCTCTCAAGGGCTCGCAGTAGTTGTGATGCAGTCAACACACACGTTGCCCAGTCAAACATTGCTATGCTCTTAACGGATAAAGCCCACAGGAGAGTACAGATCATACAAACCCTCCTAAATACAGTGTCCCTCATGGGCCTAAGCTTCCCTTGGGGTCTTTGGGAATCATCTGTCTTCCCTCAGGCAGGCAATGTCCTCCACCCCCATGCCTACCTTGCCCCTGCAGCAGACTTCCTCACCTTCATCTGGGGAAAAATGTTTCTCTCGCCCAGTCTCCTCCAGTGAGTCTCTTTAGACTCCCACTAGGGTCACCTACTTTTTTTGTTCTCCTGGTAACTTTCCATTACTTCCACCCTACTCCCTTCAGACAACCGGAGGAAGTGTCTTCTCCCAGCTAGAGGAAACAAACCCGTTGTCCCTAGGTGTTCTGTTTTGAATAGATGATTGCAGCTCACTCACCGTGGTCTCTGGCCAGCAGAAACTATGACACAACCCTGCTCGTTCATGGTGGAGCCACGTACAAGTAGGCTTCCCATGACACAGTAATGTCATAAAGTCATCCATCACTCAGAAGTGGTACAGACAGAACCCGCAGTTCATCACAGACTAGAAGGGAATCACTTTGATTCCTAGGCTTTTTATGCCTTCCCTTGGTATATAACTGCAGAGAGCAATATGGCTGTCCTACTGGAGAGATGCTCAAGCTACCGATATATGTTGTAAGTACAAAGCACTGAAACAAACAGGGACAATTCTGAAACCTTTACTCATGTGAGTAGTCCCAGTGAGATCAAAGGGACTACTTCAGTGAGTAACTCTAAATCTGCATATTAACACTTGGTCTCCAAATCAGAACACATGCTTTAAAAAAAAATTAATTTGGCCAGTAAGTTAGTTCTGTGTGTGACAGGAATTCTGCAGCCGTATCCGTCACATACATACTTTTCCTTTCTTCACTTCCTTGCAGAAGTTTTTCACTTAGTTACACAAACATTTATTTTTGAACACAGTCCTTAAAAGGCAAGTCCATTCTACAGACAGAATTTTTCATCCCATTTATTGTTGCCAAGATGATGTCACTTTAGGAAAAAAAAGTCTTGCAAAACGTTAACATATGATTAAAGAAACAGTTTAAAATCTAACTTTGTATTCAGAGAAGTACACATAATTAAGATGTAAAGGAATAGATAACCATTGTGTGTTCCTCTCCAATGACTACAAAACATTCTGACTGCAGTATCTTTTGGGTAGGAAATAAAATTTGCGGATGGTTTTGTGCCCACTTATGGTAGAAGGGGTGACTGTGCCTAATGGTCTGTGTTTGAAAGTTTGTGTTGAGATTTTTTTTTTTGGCTTTGTATAGCTGATTTTTCCCCACCTGTTCTTTTTTGAACGATTCTCCTTTCAGCCCTCCAAAGCTGGCCGTTCTATGTTCAGGTGGCTTATAGAGGCAATGGGTAGCTGACTCATCAGTTTTACTTTGTTGAGTGTTACTTTCACTTTAGCTTTGTGGACAAGTTAAGTTAATCAATGTATTCTTGCCTTGCGACATCACGTCTTGCACACTGAATCCCAACACAGGTTTCTTCTCTAAATGTTACAACTCTAGGACACTCTGTATTTTAGTCATGTGTATTTCAGGAAATCTAAAAGCTGTGGACAAAAACAAATGAAGGGAAGAAAAGGTGTCCACGGGGGCTAGAAGTTGTCTTGCTTGGCCTCTTTGAGGCTATACTTATAAGGAATGGAAAAAGCCTGCTGTATTAAACTATCCTGGATGAGTTACATAAGCCTGTAATAGTTATTTTAATTACTCTAAAAAGGGGGTTACGCGGATTACTCAGCTTAAGGTGATTTTAAAACATAATGACCTATATGTGCTGCTGTTAGTTTAGGAGACAACTGTGTTAAGTGTTAACTGACTTCAGCTAAGATAGGACATAACTTTGCCTTCGCTGAGTTTATACTAGCCCGTTTGCAAGTAATAGTGGCAGGTTTCCAGTTGTAACAGTTTAGTTCTCTACTGGAGGTTTAAATGCAAACAGAGGTACAGCTTGCTTCTCGCTCGTAACGTTGTCAAATAATGCGTGCAATTATAAAAAGGTTAATGGAGCAGAATGACTGGAGGAGCACTCTGCTTTCTATCTTTGTCATACATGGTCTCATATCAAAAGGGCTTTCTACCGATCTTTAGCATCCTTGTACTAAGTAACATCTCATTTCAAAATAAAAAAGCAAAAATATAAAAATCAAAGCTGTTTATTATTTGAATTGAAAGCAACTGAACCAATGAGAGGAAGGATGATGGGAGTCCAAAGATAAAATCATGTCAACAAAGTGTTTACTAAATTGAATGTCCTCTGCGAATTCACAAGTGGATATGAATATCTTCAATGCAGATACTTTACTCCCTCTCTAGAGAAGGGTTGGCTCATTTTCAGAGCAACCAGCTATTTTCAGGACATCTGAGAGAGACATGCAGGGACTGACAAATTAAAAATGCCTTGACCTGAGACTAAAGGCCTTGTGATTGCATAATTTCTACTACTTAAAATGAAGCAGCCAGTTAAGCATCAGCAGGCAGTGGGGTGTGTTACAAATTGTTGTAATGAGCCATAAAATCAATATCTCTGAGTCCCTGGCTTTTAGTGTTTAGCAGAGCTATGAATTAAAGTTCCTACACTTGCCTTTTGAAGGATAGCTATAGAGCCCCTGAAATCCAGCCACTAGATAGCGATCAAACCAGCACACAAAAGGGGTGGCAACGTAGTCCTTAATCATGATGACTACATCTATGAGGCCAAGGGACAACTCTCTGACACCCCCTACCATAAAGAACTCAAAGACCCCATAAAACAATTTACACAGAAATTTAAAGATACCATCAAATCCTTCCCCAAAACATTTCCAAGACAATTTCTGCAACTTCTTCCCCCGTGAACTCACCCCAGGGACCTTCTACATGCTTCCCAAGACGTATAAATAAGGGAACCCCAGCAAACCAGTCATAGTTGGCCACTGCACTCTTACTGAGGGACAGGACTCATATAAACCATCTTCTAACCATTCATCACACTAAGGGCCAGCTTCTTCCAAGGTACTACCGACTTCCTCCAGAAACACTGCAACATTAACAATCTTCCCCTATCCTTGCTACCATGGATGTCACCTCCCTATACACCAACATCCCTCACCACAGCAGCATCACTGACTGTCTCAAATACAATGCTCAGAAATCCACCCCAAACACATCGCCAAATTCATCCATTTCATCCTCACCCACAACTTCACATTTCACAACAAACACTTTGTCTAAGCCATGGGTCAGGAGTATGAGGATGGCTCCCCAATTTGCCAACCTCTTCATGGGCCACCTTGAGGAAAACTTTCCGGAAAATGCACCATGATCTACTGAGTTACATTGATGATATTGTCATCCTGTGGACAGACAACCTAAACTTCCTCATAGATTTCCACCACGCCTTCAATAACCACCACCTATCCATCCAACTCTCTCTAGAACACTCCCACACCTGCATCAACTTCCTAGACACCATGATCAGCTTAAACAATGGAACCCTACAAATGACTATAAACAAGAAACCCATGGATCACCACATTTACCTTCACAGATCCCGCAACCACCACAGACATCCCAAGAAATCTGTTAACTGCAGCCAGGCACACCGATACCACAGAATTTGCTCCAAAGAGAAAGTCTAGGGGACATACCTAAGCACATTTAAAACCACCTTCGCTAAACCAGGACACTCCAGGAGAGATGTAGATCACGTTGTGGAATGGGCCACCCAAATGCCAAGGGAGAACCTGCTTCCATACAGGAAAAAGAAACCTCCCTGGCCACATGCCCCTAGTTGTCACTTACTACTCCACACTGGAACGTACATGGGGTATCATCAAACAACTACAACCCATGTTTGATGGGGATTACATCCTGAAAGAAATGTTTCCTGAACCCCTTCTTCTGGCCTTCAAACAACCCCCTAATTTAGCCAAGCTCAACATCAAAAGCAAGCTCCCCACAGATACACCAGCTCAAAGTGGCACCAGATCCTGCCATAACAATACATGCAAAATCTGCAGACATAACACCTCTGTAATGATCACCAATATCCCCCCTCCACAACAGACCTTTCAAGATTCATGGGTCCTACACATGCCTATCATAGCATGTGGTGAACCTCACCCAGTGCAACAGATGCCCCAACACCAACTATGTGGGTGATACCAGACAACCACTAACCTCCCGAATGAACTGACAGAAAAATTATACAAGACAAACCCACCCTCTCACCTGTGGGCGAACACTTTTCACAAAGCGATCACTCCTTATCTGACCTCTCAGTCCCCATCCTCAAAGGAAATCTGCATAACAATTTCAAAAGGCAGGCCTGGGAACTTAAAGTCATAACTGTGCTAAACACTAAAAACTAGGGACTCAACAGAGATACTGATTTTATGGCTCATTACAACATTTTGTAACATTCCCCACTGCCTGCTAACCCTTAACTGCCCACTTCATTTTACATGGTCTCCTATAGCATGGGTGAAGCCTTTACACTTAACAATGTGTCCCATCTTATATTTAGCTTAGATGCTCTGGTACCTTCCCCAGTTCTGAAGAAAAGCTCTGTGAACCTTGTATGCGTATACCTTCTACCAGCAGAAGTTGGCCCAATAAAAGATATATAGTACTTCACCTACCTTGTCTCTCTATAGAAATAGTGCCTAGCTATATAATTATTGGCTTCACTGGCATTTCCATTATAAACTTCTTTACCAAAGCATTCATATTGCAGCCTTACCATTTTGCTTCCAGGCCAAAACATGACACAGTTGGAATGGAGCTACATTGAGTATTTGGATAGAGGCAGTAAATGAAGTGTTTTGGGCATCTTTGTCTTGAACTGAACAAACAGGCTTTTAAAATTTGCCCAGAACGTGTCTGATCTGATCTGTTTGGACCAGGGAAATGTTTGGATTTCACAGTTCCCTTGCATTCCTGTGCAGAACTATGCTAACATTCTGAGGAGGTAGGGTAACAGCTGCAAACAGATACTGCTGCAGACTCGTTCTGTGCATTGTGCAATGAGGCCTCAATCCTGACTGGGGCCTCTAATAGAAGTAGTAAAAATCATACTCTAGAGATTCTCTTGCCACCTGCAATATTTGTGCATCCCCATTTCAAAAGTCATGCTTGTGACTGACCGTGTAACTCTTTGTTGTTTGAAATGTTCATCCTGAAAGTGCATAGCTGAGGGCTGGAAAGTTCCTTGTCGTGTTGTGCATGACTTTAAGACAATACTAGCAGGAAATGTTCACACCTTTGGTGTAGATCTTGTTTCAATGAGCAGAACTCTAAGCTAAATCATGAGGTGGAAACTTTTCTGCCAAGCGGAGGTGAGATGGCTATTTTTGTGTTTCTTAATTTGGTAAAGTCACAACCGGCAAGTGCAAACTCATCAGTAGTATTGAACTTGGTTTGATCTGGCATTTCACTCTGGGCAGACATCCAAATGACATGACCTAATGGTGAGTTAAGGCCCATGCAACACTTAAGCCTTTGAAGTACAGTTAAGTGTGGCTAAAGTGGTCTACAGGCCTTGTGCTGCTGCAGAGGGGTGAATGTCACTGCTTACACAGAGATCTCTTGGCTTCCACGGGACTGCTTGTGCTGATACGACTTTATCAGGAGGGAAAGAGGCAGCAGCTGTGAGGGGCCCCACCCATTAAGAAGTGATAATAATGAACAATAATGAACAAATGCTCGATAATGAACTCCCTGTTCAGAGGCAGGAGAAACAAGGATTGGACCCTTGCTGGGTTTTCCGATGACATGAGGTGCTCCGACGACATTGTGATGAGCACAGATAGCTGTCCTGTGCAAGGAGAATGCTAACTTGCAGCACAGAGTAAAGTTGGAAGCAGAAAATGGTGGAAGGGAAAAAATAAATTTCCAGTGTAGGAGTCAAGGCAACCTCACTGAGACCCTGATCGTACCTGGAGTTTTGCCTAGGTGGCACCTACACCCACACACCTATTTCATCAGACGCATGGAGTGAAAAATACAGAAAGCAGTGTAAATATTACAGCACATGAAAAGATGGGAATTACCTTACCAAGGTAATGAGGCTAATTAGCACTGACCCCCCCCCCAACTTGGTAAGGCAACTCCCATCTTTTCATGTGCTGTAATATTTACACTGCTTTCTGTATTTTTCACTCCATGCGTCTGATGAAGTGGGTTTTAGCCCATGACTAAGCTTGTTATGCCCAAATAAACTTGTCTCTAAGGTGCCACAAGGAATCCTTGTTGTTTTTTTTTAAAAGGCAGTAACTGTTATGACCCACATGGCTGCATACTTGAAAATGCAGGGAACTTGGCAAGAGCTAGAAATCCAAGAATTTGAGGTGTGCCAGCTAGCATTCTTTTCTGTTCTATTTAGATTCTGGAGTCATGGAGGGTTAGGAGTCTACTCAATTTGTGGAAAAATGGTTGTGTAATATTTTGGCTCTTCGTGTTGATCACCACTTTATATGCACTGATAGGCAGAGTCAATCCAGCCAGCTGAGGGCTCTTCTAGCAATGCTGTGTGTGTAAGGTTTGCAGAAATGAGAGAGAGAGAAGGGGGGTAACAGTTCTCCAAATACTCCAGATAAAAGGGTATTAATTTGGTGTGATACAGTAATGATTTTCCCAGCTCTTAGCCTCAGAACCCAAGAAAGGAGGAAAGCAGGGGTGGAAATTAAACATCCAAGTGTTCAGTGACCTGCCTGATGAAACTGAGTACAGCATAAAAACTACACATTTGACTCGTTGTATCTGGAAATAATGGTCCCTTTGACAACACTGAATGTTTATGAGTTTGAAGGTGAACCCAGACTGCTCTTCTACTGATATTTTTTCCTTTCTTATACTTTCAGCAGCCTCTGTCTGTCCCAGTTTATCAGGTCCTAAGTATATCCTTCTTGGCTAAACCGTGGCTTTTTGAATAAATAGCCTTGTCCTCTGTTGAAATCCTTGACTTAGCTGGCCCCGCAACTTAGCAGGTGTCTCAGAGAAAAGGGAATAATCAGCCGGTGCAGTTTTTGACACTATGGGGCTGATTGCCGAGGGGCAGCAGCTCAACCAACCCTGGCACTTCAGCACCCGGGCTGTCATCTGCGCAACCAGTTGGGGGTGTGAGTGTGCACCAGCAGCCATGCGCCAGGAATGCCAGAAAGCACCAATGGGGCCTTGAGCTCTGCAGGGGCCTCTTGGCGCTATTGGAATGCAGCTAGGGCCGGAGTTTCAGAAGGGCTGAGCATCCAAAATCCAGTCACAGTCAATGGGATCAGTGGATACTCAGGCCCAAAATTAACAATGAGAGGGGCCAGGGTAAATCCATCTCCTTGGCCCCTCTCCAATTCACGGAGAGAACCAGGGAAGTTCCTAGTCTTCCCTCTCCTTGTACAACTGAAACACAGATCTACCCTAGGCCCAGCCAACCACCGTACACATCCTTTGCCAGTGCCCGCCCTGATCCTATTGACTTACCAGTTTGTCGTCAGTGGGACTGGGGCCTTCTTCCCATGCTCGGACGCGATTTCAGTGATTCCAGAAGTATTTTCCCCTTCTTTTTGATGCTCTGTTTATTTTTAAATAGCCTGATCGTGGCACTGAGGTGTGGGAAACTTCTTGGGAGAGCTTTAAATCTGTCTGATTCAGGCTCTGTTATGCAAACAGGAAATGCTCATTTTCTTCTGTTTAAGAGGCTGTTCAAATTTAGGAGCAGGTCAGTGGGTAGCCACTGAGAGCGCTTATTTATGCCTTTTTCTGTATCTGCGGAAAGGGAATGTATTGCGCACCGTCTGGACTAATACATTCGTTTTGGGATCTCAAAATAAGACCATGTCAACAAGCTAACACTCCCTAAACCTTGTGGGGTTCACACTAGGCAGCCTCTGTGCTTCTCTAAGGCAACAATAAAACTTTCCTCAAGTCTCCCTCAAGGGAGGTAGCATCATTGCTAGAGGATGGAACTGGGAGCTAGAAGATGTGGGTATCGTTTTCCTTACTCAACGATGCTGAGCATCAATTAACTTCTTTGGCCTCAGTTTCCCCATCTGTAAAAAGGGGATCCTGGTACTTACCCAGCTTTGTGCAATATTTTGAAATCATTGACTGAAAACCATGGTGTGAATCCAAATAATTACTTTGTATACAGTGTACTATATGTGTCTGGTGGCCCCATACAACTGCCCAATCCCTGTTCTCTGCCCCTGTACAGATCCCAACCCTGTGAATCACTCTCTCTGGAATTTTGGAATTGAATGGGACTCTTTTTGGTTTGACTGTTTCTCTTTAGTTCCTACCTGTACTTTATCAATTCCAGTCCTCTCTTTACGAGGATATAGAGTATCCCTTTTAAAAAATCCTCCATAAGGGATGTGTCTGTCCGAACTGTGTGCTCCTCCGCACCTGTCGGCTTTCCCCCAGCCCTTAGTTTACAAACTCTTCTGTGACCTTCTTAATTTTACATGCCAACAATCTGGTTCCATTTTGGTTTAGGTGGCATCCATCCTTCTTGTATAGGCTCCTCCTTTCCCAAAAGGTTCCCCAATTCCTAATAAACTTAAATCCCTCCTCCAAACCCTATTGTCTCATCCACACATTGAGACCCTGCAGTTCTGTTTGTCTAACTACACATGGAAGTGGATGCATTTCAGAGAATGCTACCATGGAGGTCCTAGACATCAATCTGTTACCTGGCAGCCTAAATGTGGCCTCCAGGACCTCTCTCCTGGCATTGGCACAGAGTGGGCAGTAGGTAAATGTGCATCTCTTCTGGTCATAATTCAGGCTCTGTCAGCCACATTGCACCGTGTCTTTGATCCTGAACCTACACATCTTGTTTCAGCCAGGGAAGCATGAGTATTTCCATGACAGGGAAAAGGGTCAGCAGTTTAGCTAGTCTCTGCTGCCCCTCTTCAGATAGATGGACTCATCTCCTCCATGCTATTCTCTCTGGTCCATTAGCCAAAGTGCTGTTGAACTGCAAGAGCAAAGCCTGTAATGACTTGTGACGAGAGACAATGAATCTGTTGATGCATGGGAGACACCTTGATATGGTTCAAGAGCTAACGCTTTCATTTTGGGGCTGAACTAAAAGCTGCTGAAATTGCCACGCTTCCAAATCGAAAGCCTGTCCCGTGAGCTGTGCCTTTCTGTGTGGGGATACACAGCTCTTGCATTGGGAAAGGTGATAGAATTCTGTTGTGATGGATATAAAATAATGAGCAATGACAAGCCAGGCAGGAGAAAACAAGACAGGAAATAAAGACATCTGTGCCTGGGACTTCACAAGCAGCAAGACACCTCAGCAATGCTGTCAGGAAGGCAGCTTCACGCCTATACTATGCGGATTACATATTGCTCCTCATAGTAGTTTCCCCCCATTTTAGCTCCATTTGCAGGCTGGCAATACCCAACTGTGTAAAATCCTGGGTGGCTAAAAACTCTTCTCTGATTTGAAGCATGGTCACAACAGTGGCTACTGAACCGCTCAAGTGGCTACCTTGTAGAGAAAAGGCTGCCTATGAGAGCGATGTTGGCGTTAGACTGGAAAACCAAAAAATGGGAAAAAAACACACTCTTGCTCCATAATGTCAGGAGAGGCAGCGGGGCCATTTATACCTCACACAGTTACAGTGTGTTACAGTGAAAGAAGAATTGGGCCCAGGGAGCCTGATCCTTCTCCGCAACACTGGGGTAAGACTGAAGAAACTTAAGTCAGTGGAATCCCCCCAGGGTAAGTACTTGTGCCCAGTATAGGCCAGTGTGCAATACAAGGCCAGTTTAATTATAACAAAAGTAGCACCCAGATGCCCTGACCATTATAAAGGTGCTTCAGGGCTAGATCCTCAGCTGGTGTAAATCAGCATAGCACCATTGACTACAAAGGAGCTATGCCAGTTTACATCAGCTGAGGACTGGACCCATCATTCCTATTCTGGTCCAGTAGTGTGAGCCAAATGCAGCTCTCAGTTCCTCCCATATAACCCCATTGATTTGTAGTGAGGGTGGAATGGGGAGCTGTATTTTGATCCCTGTACTTTACACTAACACACCCATTACTGTGAAGTCGTATGGGCCACTTCAGGATTTCTCCCGGGACACACAGCTCTTGACTTGCCTGTACTTCCACTGCAGAATCCGCTGTTGCTGTGAAACTGATCCACCCCGAGATACAGCTCCCATTGTAGCCTGGGAGCCTGTCCACCTGTATCATGTTCTTACTGAGCTTGTGGCTATGTGCTCCTGGGTGCGCGAGTACTGAACTGAATGCAGGCAGCTACTGTAATGCTCACTTACTGGAAATGGAGGAGGAGGACAACTGAAAGTGAGATCCTGCCTGCCTGCCTGAAAGAGCTGACTGGCATACAAGGGTGTGGAGGGGGTTAGTCCTTTGGGCCAGAGATCTGGTTTGAAAACCTGGCGTAAGTCACAAATGAGAGTGGCCATATGTTCTCATTCCAGGGAGAAGGGTTTTTCATGGTTCCAATTAACCTTTCATAGTCCACCTTGTTTATAGCCCAACACAAAGAGTCCATCTGCTAAATACACCAGTCAGAAAGAGGTTTGATGATTAATACCTAGTGAGGTTTCCACCTCGGAACTGACAACTCAAATACCCCACAGTTCATGAATGTTTGGATCTGGCGTTCTGGTTTAGCCCATTATGAAGAGGGGGCCACTTTCAAAATGTGGATTGGGACCGGGGTTCAGATTCTGAGCACTCCCAAGTCCAGGGATACTCAGTTTTGAGAGATTTGGTTCAGGCTCCTCTGTTGTAACAGCAGTATTCTCTATCTGCCCATAGGGACGGGTACCTCAGTGACCAGTGTCCCTGACCAGGGGGGGCTGGATGTGGCCTTCTCAAGAGCAGATAAACCCTGCCCCCAAAGTGGCTGGAGGGGTCACTGCGGCACTTCCAGTCTCCTCTGCTGGCCCCTCCAGACTGGCTTAGGAATCTGCCCTGTGTTGCTAGCAATCTTGCCAATGAGAGCAGGGAGCGTTAACAAGCAGGATGTAAAGCACTGCGGGATGAGAAGGAAATATTGAACCCAGCACCCACAAGTGTCCCACATTCCCAGGGCTGCAGACTGGGCCAGATTCATCCTTACTGTAACTCACCTAAGTCACTCCATGCATCTGAACAAGTGGAGTTTTTACCCATGAAAGCTTGTGCCCAAATAAATCTCTTAGTCTTTAAGGTGCCACCAGACTCCTTGTTGTTTTTGTGGCTACGGACTAACACGACTACCCCTCTGATACTAAGTCAATGATGTTACACCAGGGAGATATTTGACCCACAGTTTTAATATCTGTCCCAGCAACACCATTCCGAAAGGTGTCACATGATCAGCTAGTCGGCATTGACTGATGCTGCATTGTCATTCCCAGAGGTAAACCTTTCTTGAGGGCTCTTTCTGGGGACGATGCTGTTAAGCACATGAAGGGCAGGCTAATATGAGTGAGGAAGGCCCTAAGTATTAAACAGAAATTCTATAGAACAGTTCCAGCTCCACATCTGGTACCAAAATCATGAGGCAGGGGTTTGGATCCAGATGATTCCAGTTCAAGACTCACCCTACAAATGTTCTTACCAGAGATGCACCGAAACAGGATCTTGAACCCGACCCCCCACCCCTTTGCAATCTGCAAAATCAGAATCCTCCAGACCCAATCCCTGACCCCCTGGTTTTGGTTCAGAATCCACGCTGGAAGCAGCCCGAAATGCTACGAGATCAGCTGGTCTTGGGAGATTTCTACCACTTTGAGCCACAGTCCTACACTAATGGCTCATAAGATGCGGGGAATGTCAGATCGGAAGCCAAGCTTTAGTGCTCGGACTCTGCCCAGCCAACTCTCAGCCTAAATGTGCCAGATACCACCTGCTGTCAGTCCACCTCTAACAGTTATTGGATTGTCTCACTTGGAATCCTATTGGAATCAATTCAGAACAGCATAATTTTTCTTCCCTTCATCGCACCGGTATAATTTCCCCACCCCCTCTACACACTGTCCTTCAGAGACTTTCCAGGTACCTGGTTCCAGTCCATGCTATCGCTTTAAATTGGAAACAGGTCCATGGATATATTCCTTTGATATCTCAAGAGCAATGCAGGGAATACACTCCAAAGTACATGTTTGGCAGCCAGAAAAGCATTTCCCTGGCAGTATAAAAACCTCACTTATAAACAGCGTTACAAGTTATTTCATTCAATTTCCCTAAAACAATGACCCTTTTAAAACATGTGCCTACATTTAAAAAAAACCTCTTCCCTTTAATTCTACAAGATAATTGATCTTTTCCCATCAGTACCTAGAATAAATGGTTTTATAAACATTTGACGAATTCGGTCAATATGAACTATACCCAGCTCCATGGATCTCAATGTGTTTTACAGAGGAGGGCAATGTCATTATTCCCATTTTAAAGATGGGGAGACTGAGGCACACGGAGGGGAAGTGACTTGTCCAAGGTTATCCAGAAGGCCAGTGGCAGAGCTGAGAATCCAACCCAGGTCACCCAAGTTCCGGTCTGGTGTTCTGTCCCTTAGGCCACACTGTCTATTTTGCATTTCTGAAATGTCTTTCATCTGGAGGTCTCTAAGGGCTCTACAAACTCCAGACACATTAGGACAACCTCGGGTTAAATAAAGGGTGAGCATTACAGAGCGCTCAATGCTTTGTAACCAGGAGCAGAGGGCAATCAGCAGGCTTGGCAGCAGAACTGCAGCTCCTCACGCTGGCTCCTTGGAAGGGCGAATGTAGGAGGAGCTAGAAGCACTTAGTGGATTGGGACCCGAGTGGTGCTGCAGCCTCCTGTTATACACGGAATTCTACTGAGCAGCTGGAGGCTTGGAAAGAAAAGGAGAAAGCTGAGGATCCATTTTTAAATAGCTTTCACTGGCTCCTGTATCCTAGAGTGCCCCCTTGTGGCAGGGACTGACTAAGTGGCAATGCTGTGGTCTCTCCTTGGGAACCTGAGAAGGAAGGTCTGTAGGGACCCGCTCCTTGGGAAGCCAGCCTTCTCCTTTTTGAACCTCCATGCCGTCTCTTCTATGGAGTAGAGGAGGGTCAGCATCCTGTTGACTGTATAAACCGTATCCCCCCTGATTACGGCAGTGAAGAGAGCTCCTTTGCTGTTCACGAATTGCCCCGGTAAAGCTGTCCACTGCAGGCTGGTGAGGTTGAAGCAATCTATCACACACCGCAGGAAGTCGTCTGAGGGCCCATTCCGCATGATGTAGAGATTATCTCTGTGGGCCACCATGCAATGGCCATAGCTCTGAGGTCTCTTTAAGGCTGAGATAGGAAGCCATTCGTCTTTCTGGATCTCATACTCATAAATGATCGTGGTGTCTAGTGGCTTCCACAAGCAGACAAATATCCGCCCCATGGCCTGGGCGCAGGGCGCACCTGCTGTTGGCTGGGGCAGATCGGCGACAAAAGTCCAGGTGTTGGAGGACACATTGTATTTCTCCACAGACTTTAGCAAGGTCTTCTCAAATTCTCCTCCTATGGCGTAAAGATAACCTTCATGACCTGTCAGTGTGAGGTCGTACCGGAGCTGCTGAGGACTGGGAAACTCGCTCCAGCTGTTAGCATCTACGTCATAGCAAAAGCTGATGTCCACGATTTGTTTGCTCGCTCCGCGGACTCCGCCCACTATGTAGATCTTATTATCCAGTGTTGCCATGCCGGCCAGGAATGTGCTGGCCGTCAGTGGCAAGCAGGAGAGCGTCTTCCACGTGTTGTCGTCCTCATCAAGGTAGCAGATGGTTCTCGAAAGGTCCTGTAGAAACTCAAAGGTTGGCGTATGGGCTCCCACTGCGACAAACGTGCTGGGCAGAAGGGAGTCCACGTAATCCAGCAGGTCAGCGGAAAGGCAGTCTAAGTACTCCTCTAAATCAGAATAGCCATCTCTAATGTACAGGGCAGCACTGTGGAAAAGGTCCTGCAGGCCAAACATGGCAGCAGCTTGATAAAGGACAATGCAGTTATCGGAATTGATGGAATTAATCAGATACTTGGTCATCGTCTTCACCTGAAGAAAAGCTGCACATTCAACCGCCTTGAGATTCTCCTCACAGGTCAGCACGGGTCTCTCCCCTGCCAGGACCCGGAGCATGAGGAGAAATCCCACGGCACTCAAGTCTTGGATCTGGATTTCATCTTGCGTGCTCTCCTTCATGCCAGACTGGAAGAGCGCGCGGAAATACTCACTGTGTTCCACCAGCAGAGCCTTGTCCGTGGCGAAAAACTCCTCCTCCACTTTGATACGCACTCTTCCCCGCAGGAACGTCTGCATGATCTGCTCCGGAGTCAGCCTTCTAATGCCGGGGACCTGAACCAGGGAAGCAGGTGGTGATGGTGTCTCAATGCATGGGCAAGGACACAATGGAACCCAAAGCCTTTCTCAGTATGTCGGCCGCTTCCCAAGCAGAGCACTGTTCCTATCTCTTCTGTGGTTGTTTGCTAGCTTTCTGAGCCTCCCCAGCAGCTAAGACGCTGCTAACTTGTAATATAAATACCTCCAGCTAAAGATAGCTGTGGCCCATGTGATCGGAGTTGCCAGCAATGAAAGCCATAAGCAGAGCCTGTCATTGGCATCCATGGAGCTCTCTTACCAGCTGATACCAGCAGCACTGCTTCCAATGAAACACAGAGTAGCCACTCCAGGGACTGGCAGCATTTAGCTGCCTATCGGTGCGGGGAGGGGAGATCATCAAGGGTAAAGGTGGAACTTAATCGTACTGGACAGGTCCAATTCATCCCAGCTGTAACTCGTGAAATCCCCTCAGGGGATGACGTGAGGTGATCTCCCAAGGCAGAAGGTTACCTAGGGAAGATGATGGTGAAGGTTTCCAAAAGAAACTAGTGAATGCATCCGATGAAGTGAGCTGTAGCTCACGAAAGCTTATGCTCAAAGAAATTTGTTAGTCTCTAAGGTGCCACAAGTACTCCTTTTCTTTTTGCAAATACAGACTAATACGGCTGCTACTCTGAAACCAGTGATTTTTTGGTGTCTCAATTTTTGTGTGTCCCGCTTGAGGCCACAAAGAGCCCTGGTTTTAGGAGGCTGGCTGCTTAGTGCTTTCTAAACACCAGGCCCCTTGAAGGCATCCCAGAATCACAAGTCACTTCTGAAAATCTTGCCTGGGGTCTTTGCCAGGTTTCCCTGTGGGCTCCTAAAGGCCCATAGATGCTACTGAACTAGAAATAGTTATACAGTGAGATGCTTGTAATAATCATACTTTGGACTTTGCTGTGAGGACCTCTAAGTGCTTTACAGAAGGCCAGATTCTGCTCTTGGGAGTGCAGTTGGTCAGCGTTTTTACTCCAGAATTAAACCACTGTATCAGGGAGCAGAATTGGGGCTCACAGACTGAGCTTACCTCTTTGGGGGAGCGAGGTGCTCTACCAGGGAAACACACAGGTGTTAAGTGTTTGACCCACTGTCTTAGGAGAGGCTCCCAAACTGTGGTCCACAGAGCAACTGCTGGTGTTCCTTGGCGAGCTGGCTAGTCACATAGTACCGGCTCTTCTTCCTAATTTCCAGACGTTAAAATGCCTTAAAAGTAGCTAAAAATACATTCAATACTTCCCTAAAGTGACCTTTTACAGGTCAGCGATTGCTGGAGTTGCCACAAGAAAGTTATGTGACTGCAAACTGGCGGGGAGGCAATCCGCACAATTGTGAATTGATGAGGAGGTGTCCTTAAGAAAATCTCTCTATTAAGATATGGTCTGCAGGAGGAGAATGTCTGAAAAGCCCAGTTCTAGGAATTCCAAAGGCGGCTTCTCTACTGGGTGCATACAGACTGTTTGACGCGATCTCCCCGGGGGGAGAGCCAGACCCTAGTGCAGAAACGACCATAGATATTCTAATCCTGCTGTTCATTCATCGCCTTTCATCCCACAGCTGTGGCTTTTTGTATTGCTGGAAAGAGCATACATTTCCCCCCCTCATAAAAGTAAGTTTTATAGCTTCAATGAGATAACTACTTCCGTAAATCCCTGAGTCTTTAAGCCCGAATTATGGGACGGTGCGTCTGCCAGCACCGCAGGCCACACACACACCAAAGGGCGTTTGACAAGCAGTAGGGATGGTTTATTACAGGTTTTTATTTTAATTTTGCATATTGGGAGAGACAATGCAAAAGCAGCGTGGGGTCTGCGTGGTGAACGGTTGGCCTTGGGGTTTGAAAGTTCCACAGAAGTGGGCTCCGTTGGTGAAAAAACACACCATTCATTTTTGCTATTACAGTAGCTGTTGGATTGACAGCTGGACTGCATCCACTGTACAACCTCAGTGCCTCCTTCAAGGCATAGTCCAGCTAGCTGCTTCATTCAGGGGCTTGGACAGATACAGGAGGAAGATTTCACATCTATGTGCCTGGCCATGGTTGCAGTCATCCCTGCAAAGCTCCCTGGGGGGAGGGGTTCTATTTTTGTCTCCCAGGAGTATCAAGAAGGTGGAATTAGCAATCAAATTTGTCCCAAATTTAGGTGATTTATATTTTGGAGGGGGAGCTTTGAAATCAATGGAGGTTAACCTTAAATGACTGCCCCCACTTATTAGTGGTTTTATCCACATCTATGCCGATCACAATATAGCAAAGCAGAAGCTAAAATAAACCCCAATTTGCCGACTCAGTGAGTGGAAGCGCTAAGAAGAAGGTAGAGGTTTGAGTCCCAGCTTTGCCTGGGCACAGATGGGGACTAGGTGCTCCTAACACGCTGGTAGGTAGATAGGGTGCAGTCAGCATCCCTCTGCAACACTGCTTTCCGGTCTGCAAGGGTAACTCCCCTGCTCCTCTGTCTCCACTCGACCTATTGGGCTCTGCTGCCTTCCATCCAGCTCCAGCCTATGGGGAACTGGGTCGATCCAGGCTCACAGTTCCAGAGAGGGGATTTGGAGCAGAGCACACACTCTGCGGTTGGACAACATGTGTCCAAGTGGCACCTCAAGCTAGCACAAACTAAGGAAGGAAGCGGGAGCCCAGTATATTTACCTCCCATTCAGAGGGGCCGGTATGCGTTGGGAAGCACTGATCTACAGCTCCCCCAACAGGCCAGTTAGGAACAGCATTAGCTGAGCTGTTCAGTTTCAACAGAGCCTTCCTGGCAGAGGGCAGAGGTTGCCTGCTGCTTTCATGCCTTTAGTTTTGCCTCCTCCCTCTCTTGGTGAGCATCAGCCTGCAGTGGGGGCACGGGGATGTAGACCCCAAGGGATAGCCAGAGGTCAAGCCCGTAAGTCTGAAAAGGCCTTGTGCTGCCTGCAGGGGAGAGAGACAAAAATAGAATTTGGGAAAAAACCAAGGCTGTGGCTGTCGCGCGGAGGAACGAGAAGAGGAAAATCACCACAGGCAATTAGTGCCCAGGGGATCGTTGCTCTGCTGAGCCCGTCGGAGCCGTTCCTGACCCAAACCCGCTGGCGTGGTGGTACTTTGCTGAGGCTGCCGTACCGTTTTTCTAACCTCCCCATCCCCACCCCCACTTTGTTCTTGTTCTTCAGCCTTGCTCCTTACCAACAGCCCCTTGTTGTCAACACCTGGACTTGGAGCTGGCATTGCTCAGTCAGGAACCTTCAGCCTTCTGCCTCCAAAAAAGGATGAGAATTTATTTGCAGTTCCCTCCCCCAAGTTCACCTGAGTTCAGGCCAGCTCTGAGTCATGCTTGGCTGCAAAGCTGGCAAGTTCTGTGCAGCTCCATGGGTGGCATTTTATGCAGGTTATTTAATGGAATCATTTGCCTATGTGCAAAGAATTTGCATGGAGACGTATGTTTCTGGTCAACACGCTCTGCCCCACGGAGTGGCAGGGGTAGGGCATGGAACTGCGCAGAACTTGGCAGGTGGGGGTCAGCTGGGTGCTGGAGTGTGTCAAGGATGGTGAAGCTGCTGGAGTGGAATGGCTGCTAGGCGAGATGGGGGAAGGGTGTGTCTGGTGGGCGCTAGGGGGCTGGTCGCTGGGGTGTCCTTGGGGAGCTGGGGCTGGGCCATGTTGAGCCCCTCATCACCGCCGTGCAGAGAACAGAAGCTCCATTTTGCAAAGGGTTTTGAGACTTGGCTTCCTTCTGAAGCAGAACTAAAATGGAACATGGCTAAATTCTCCGCAAAGCAAAATTTCCCCAAACTTGTGTTCTGATGACACAAAACGTTTCATTTCGCTTGTCTTCTGTTTGGTATTGTACTTTACAATAGGCTGCCAGAAGCCGGGATGGATCTCACCCAGATTGCCCCATTCCACACACACACACCCCCTTCCGAAGCTCTGGGGCTGGCTGCTGTCAGAGAGGTGAAGCTGGGCTAGATGGACTGTTGGTCTGTCCCAGCAGGGCAGGTCTTATGTCCTTGTGCAGAATGCAAAGCAAAAATATTTTAAGTGGAAAAAATCGTTTCAAAACATTTTAACACTGACAGAACGTTTTTTTCCTGGTTTTTCTTCCAGAGTGAAATTGCGGCAGAATCGACCGCTCTTCACAAAGCATTTGGATTTCAGCGGCACTGGAATGTGGCTCCATCTAAGTTACTCTGACCAGCTGTACCTGTCGCCTTTGCCTGCACCTCCTGCTTTTGTTGCTGCTATGGCTTGCTCAGATCCCCACCAGGAGCTGGGAGAGGAGAGGTAGGAAGGCTGTCTCCACAGCAATTGCTGCTGGACCCCTGATAGCTGCGAGGAGCAAATGCAACCTGACCCCGTTCCCGCAGGACACGTCAGGAGCCAGCTGTGCGGTGAGAATGTATGACAGGGCCACCAGATGTGTGGGTGTCACGCTTGGCAGCATTGTAGTTGCTGCTTGCACCTCAAATCTGCCGGGGCTAAGGAAGCAGCATATATGCAAGATGCCGGAGAGAAAAGTGGCCAACAGTCTGTGGAGGCAGTTGTCAGGGCAGGGGACAGGGACTCCGGAAATTCAGGTTTGGTTCTGGGCGCCACCGCTGTTTCACCACGTGGATTTGAGCAAATTGCTCACCTCATTGCTCTGTGCCTCAGTTTCCCCATTGGTGAAATGCAGATGGTAATAGTTAACCGACCCTTTGAACATGCTTTGAGATCCCCTGGGTTGAAAGGAGCTGAGCAGGTGCAATGTATTGTGAGTTATTGGTTCATTGGCAAAGCTTTATATCATTGCTGTCCAGTGCCTCCCTTTCCCTGTGTCTCTTGGTCTCCAAGATCGGTTGCTGATGACTCTGTTCAAAGTGAGAACACACAGTTCACTGTTGATCAGATGACTCATTCCTTAACCATTGTAATGACCATAGAATGCCCTAGTCCATCTAGTGTGCTATTAAACGGAGGCCATTTGAAACCCATGCTTCACGGTTAGCACAGGGATGCTGCCCCTACAGCAAGAGAAAATATCTGTATCCAAAAAGCTCTCAGTGAGTGGGCAGTCTGCAATGGTTGTGTCTATTGGCCTCCTGAGGCCGGGGATGGGCCTAGATTGTCAGGGGGCTGGGGTGTCTGCCTACCAATCAGTCATGACCTAAGCCAGTACCTTTAACAAGC